AGGGGCGGTTCGCAGGATTGATGTTCTCCGAAGTTACATCATGGTGTGCAGGAATCAGATGAGATGATACAACGGGCCCGACAAATAGCAGCACTGCAACGCTCTACAGAACCGTTCTCCGGCTAGATACGCTCCAAAAGATCTGTGTTAGTCATGCGGCTAGGTTTGAAAGATACTGGGCATAAGGTATGTGAGTCCTGTGTGTGGCTAATGTACCTCTATCCAACCTGAAAGTGACAAATGTTTGACTATAGAGTTGTATTATTAACTTCGTGACTGCATAAAAGACTGATAGCCCCTGTTTTACAGCCTGACTAGCCTATGAAACTGGCATTGAATGCCATAATGGGCGGACTTTAAGGTTATTCAAGGCTTTCATCTTGAAATTCATTTTTGTACAACAACCCTTTTTTGTAATCTGGCCTGTGCAAATTCTGAGCTACCTCTATTTTCTTTGATTGTTTGTTAATATGTTTTTTCTGGCTTTAGTGGCCTTCCTTAAGGAGGTCCCCTTTCCACTAGCTGCCCACCTAAACCACTGACCCATACAGCAGCCCCCCCCCCCCCTCCAATTTCTTAACATTTCCTAGGATTTCCCATAATCTTGAGTAACGTTTTTGGGGGGCTTTGTAAGGTTTTTATGTTTACATTAGTCTTTCTTTCCAGACAAATGCACGATTCTCAATTATCTTGTTAAGATACTTAAAACTGACCTAATACCACAGGAAGCAGAGTGAAAATGAGTTGTAATGGGTCTTATGAGTGGATGAATCCTCCCTAGAGCTCAGACATCAACATTCTTCACCTGTGTGGCGTCATCCGCAGAAGGGAAATGACATCCAAGTAACAACTTTGGGGTTTCCTTTTAAAGCTATTTCTGAGGACCGTTCAGAGAAGAAGAAACAGGAAAGCGGGTTCAGACTTTTAAGTTTGTTTGCTTCCAATTTACCTGGCAACCCAAAAGAAATGCGAGGTGGCTTCTCCCCGTTATGAGGTCACACGATGAGGTGACCCCAGCTCAGCCATCTAAGATAGATTCTCAGTGACCGGGCCGTGATGTATGGCTGCTGTTCTCAGTGCTGCGAGGGCCTCAGAGAGACCAGAGCACAGTTCCATCTTCGGCCGGTCGCACTGGCCTTGACACGCCACACAAAGCTGGGCCTGAGAGCGTGTGTGTGTGTGTGTGTGTGTGTGTGTGTGTGTGTGCGCTCGCACCGGCGTCTCACTCCAGCAAACCCTGAGAGTCCTTGTCTGGAGACCTTGAGTGCTGAAAAAGTGTGGGGGGGCCCCTCCTTTGGGAGAATGAAAAGCGAGCGAAAAGGGAAAAAAAAAAAAAGAAAAAAGAAAAAGCCCTGAGCAGATAAGAAAACTTTTCCACCAGCAGGAACAAGTCGTCCTGGATGTTTCCCTTCCTCCGCGGGCTGCCTCTGACGTCCGCAGCCCGTGTCAGATACGAGATAATAACTGTAGCGAGTTCACCGTTAACCAAGGGGGGGGGGGGGGGGTTTGGGCAAAAAAAAAAAGGAACTTTGTAGAGGAATCTGGGCTATGTGTATCACTGTAACAAAGCACAGGGACTTTTTTTTTTTCCTCTTTTTTTTTTCTTCTCCAGATGCATTTTCACATGTGTGTTTGCCACGGCCCGAAACCAAAGGGGAGAGGATAAATGCTGAGTGAGCACAGACAACAGCTACTCTGTCTTTGCTAAACATCTTCAAGGTCCCTGTGGAGGGATAAATGGCCAACCGGACGGGCATTCCCAGGAGAAGCTCATCAGGACGCTCACGAGGTAAGACACTCTATGCACTTTACAAGCAGATTCCTTCATTTAAATTTGAATTTTGGAAACTTCTGGCCGGGCAATGTTGGGTTTTGTATTTTTCTACACATTCGGTGAGTAGTTGTTGTTTTTTCTGAACAGTTAAATAGCAGAAGATCTATCTGAGGTACTTGTTCTGTTCCACATGTGGTCCCGGTGAGCCTCCCCGTCCTGCAGGTCCCAGCATACGGCCGGGAGGGAGCCCGATGCACTCGCTGTTCCTTTTTCCTATGCATATACTTCTTTGAGATGTAACTTTAAAGAGGCATAAGGCATGGGAAAATGGGGCTGCAGAGGTATTCCCCCAAGCGGGCGGCCCTTTCCCTCACACTTCAGAACCAGCACACACACGCATGTACTGTCTCTTATTCTCCATTTTCCCTTTTTTTTTTTTTTTTTTTTTTTTTTACAGAAGGAATGCAAATATTCTCAAACACTAAACTCTGGAGATTTATTTAACTTGATTTGTGATTTGTGTGGCTGTATTGTCATCTAATGTTTGCTTTGATTGTGATTTGATTCTCTGAACATGTTGTTCTGTTCTGCTTTTTGCCTTTTTTGAAAATGAATAAAGAAATATAATAAATATACTGCGCCTTTAATTGCTGTGTTTGAGACGTCATGGAGTTATGCTTGATACATTAGAAGGTTTTTCCTGATTTAATTTTTTTTTTCGCACATTCACAACTTTGGGTCGTCGTACACTAGGCAATATTTTTGGCAACTCTGATGGGCACCAGTGCCCAGCATGATTGTCTCAAACCATATTTAGTCAACAATTGTCAGTTTAGATGTTTTTTCTTTATTCTAAAAGGATCAAATGGCCAAGGAAAATGTTTCTAAATGGTAGGAATTACCAAAAGTAAAACATTAGCTGTGTAATTTATCAGAAGTCTCAGCAGTTGTGATACTTACACAACATGAATATGAATGGACACAGATACTTATAGACAAAAAGCTCTCGGGGGCTGTTAGCTTTTCTCCTCTTTTTAAACAGTTTTTTTAAAAGGAGCTGATTTCAGTGTTAGACAAAAACTCACAAACTTGTAAAACATGAGGCGGGGCCCACAACTCAAATACTTTGGTAACAAAGTGCAGGAATACAAACGCATATTACCTCAGTCTTTTGAAACTAGTCATAATCTACCTGCAAAGTGTTTTTTTTCTTTTTTGGGCAAAACATACCTGTACACATTAAAATGAAACACAAATAAAATAGCAATGGCTAAAATGTGGCTGATTTGGGGGGAAAAGCAGCTGATTACTTCAGTCCCGGCCTGTACCGGTAAGAATGCAGTCAGGACTTTTTATATCAAATGTGAAGAGAAACATAATGCTCTATTTATATGTGTTACATTGGGAAAATGGTTTAAAAAAAAATTAACAAAAGTAAAAATAAATTAGCTGGGTAACTTATCAGAGGTCTCAACAGTTGTGATATTAACTTCACAACATTAATTATGAAAGGAGACAGATACTTATAAAAAAGAAAAGCTCTCAGATTTTTTGTTGAAATCAGTCAACCCTTTGAAAAATAAAAATAGTCTGTGCTTCCTCTTGCCCTTTAAAAGAAATGTAGGAATATGAAAACAAACTTTTTTCGATCTCAGCATCCGTAACAGTTGATCCACTGGATTTATCTTCAGTCACATAAACTGATCACATGTTATGACTGCATTTAACCTTCTGAGTGATAACCTCTTCCCAAACAGACTTAGACATTGAAAAATTGCCAGAACCTAACCCCCTCTGAATGACTGTGCCTTGTGTGATCCAGTGAGGCCTGCCTGTCCAGAGGCCGTGGCTCCTGTGTGTCTGCAGCTGCACATCTGCGGCTTTTTCTCAGACCCTCCAGACCCTTTCACCTGCCCACTCACCTGATCCGGAGGGGATCAGCCAAACACTCATTGTCATTCACACCGTGCTCCTTCACAATGGATCATTTACTGATGCTCATGTGTCCATTAGCACCAGGAGACAGAAATGTGGGGGCCAATCGCTCTTTGGGGCGGGGTTGCAGGACTGTGTGCTCCAGGGTGAGTCCAAGTCCAAACAAGTTCTTCTCATCTAGTTTCTGATGATTGGGAGATTGAGGCTTCATACTAGCAGTCATTGGTTTTATTCATTCTTCAGTTTGCGTTTTGTCATAAGAGACCGAAAAAACGGATGTGTGGGGGGAAAAGAAAGCAAAAAGGCACAGGAACTTTACGACGGCGCGAGTCCATCAATGGGCCAATTAACTGGTGCCGACTAATAACTTTAACGTGAGGGAATACACACCTCGGACAGACCTGAGGGCGCCGTGCCTCCGCGCCTTTCAACTCAAGTGCGAACAGCTCCATCCTCACACAATGGAGAGCGACGCATCCCAATGATCTGAACTGTTAGGCCTGCTTTGATGTCCCTTTGAAGATGCTGCTCCACAACCGGCGGAGGGTGCGACGCCACCGGACGCCAGGGGAAAATATTCGCCTGCAGCGTTTTTTTTTAAATGCTTCACCTCATTTTGCGCCTTTTCTCGAAATGGACACATGTCTCTATATGTTCTAAAGTTTTCTAAATGCACACAGATGCTTGGTGATGATACCATGGCCCTTCTTTGTTCAAACAAGAAGTTTCTCAGCAATGCCTGACTGGGCCGTTTGCTCCTTCTGTAACAATCAAAGGTTGTTTCAGAGACGCTGAAATTGGCTGTGATCACGTGGCCTTGACATCAATCGATTATGACTTTATTTCCAACTTCATCTAGCCCAGTAAGACTAAACAGTTCCCAGACTCTGTCTTATCGTTTTCGAAAAGCTTATTTTGGTTTATATTATCTGCATAATATTTATTCACTTTGATGCATTCTTTAAATCTTGACTTTTTGTAGTAGCCTAATAAACTCCAATGTTAAGAACCAAACTACATACATGCATTTTACGTGTAGATTAAAAGACGAAAGTTGAAAAGGGGAATTAAAAACACTTAATTCATTTATTTACGGCTCAACACAAAGAACATTTGACACATTTACATCACTTGACCAACAACAAACTTGCATCAGTATAACTCAGTGCTTCGGAAATATCAAAAGCAAATACGTGTTTGAAACTTTTAATCCCCTCTTTTAAAGAGAGCAATCGGGAAGGATATCTAGATTCTAGACAAAAGACCCACAAAAAAAAAAGAGACTGGGTTATCTGAGGAGTGTGGGAGGCAGGAGGAGGGATGGCTGGTAGTGGTGGTGGTGGTGGTGGTGGAGGAGTGAGGCCGGTGGAGGCGCGCCCCGGAGCGGCCGCAGGAGGCCGCAGCCTCCCGGGAGCTGTCCGCTCAGGAGGGGGTGCTGAAACCCCAGCAGAGCCACGGGGACCGTCAGGAAGCCGGGCCGCGTCTCCTGGACCTCCCGTTTGAGCTTCATCCTCCGGTTCTGGAACCACGTTTTGACCTGGGAGACAAGACACCCCCATCCAGATGTGGTTTACCCGCGGACAGCTGGACACCCGAAACACAAAACACACCCCGTATGAGCTTAAATCGGCGGAACTCGTATAGGCTACCTGAGTTTCTGAGAGGTTCAGCCTCTCCGCGATTTTCCTCCTCTGGGTCGCCCCCAGGTATCTGTGCTTGGTGAAGGCGCGCTCCAGCTTGCCGATCTGCTCGGAGGTGAACTTGGTCCTCACCCTCCGCTGCTGAGCAGACGCTTCCCCCTCGCTGTCCTCCCCCACCTCGCTCTCGGACCCCGACGCGTAGCCGCAGCTGTCTGGCAGGGAGAAAACAATGCAAAACTGAATTCATTTACTCAAAATCGATAGTGGGCTCGAAAGTTCCCGTCAATGTCGGCCCCCCTCAAGACACAGATTATCAGAAAACTCACTGTTTGGCGAGGTCGGGGAGTATTGGCTTCTCGATCCCTTTGCGAATCCCTCCTTTTCACAGTGAACCTTTAAATGAAAAGCCTCCTCTGGGGCCCGTAGAGTTCTCTCTTCGTGGTAACTTTTGGAGAGCCATTCCACGGAGAAGTTGGCCATTCTGCTTCAAAACAGTTTATGAGAAGATGACTCGTATAGTCGCTATATAGGAGGGCCACACTTCTTTATTTGCATATGCAAAGGCATCTCAGCGGAACGATAGAAACTTGATGGTGGTTGTAATTGAGGTTAATGGAGGCCGGGCTGTATTTTTTCTCACGTTCGGGGATGCAACGGCGCCAGTGAGTCTGAGTATCAGTTACCTGGGACCTCTGCCCTAATGAGGTGTGCATAAAGTGAGTCGGGGGCCGCATCCGCCTGCGAATGAAAAACCGACGACTTTAAGGAGAATCTGATCACGGTTAACGTCCTTCTCCCAAGATCCTACCTGGACACAACCCCGCCTGCAGAACGCACGAGACAGACAGACGTAGTTTGCGTTCAATGAGTCACATTCCCATGTCTGATCCCTGACAAAGGTGTTTCCAGTCGCCCAGATGTGCGCACATCAGGCCTTTGTTAGGGCGGGTGTGTCGCTGTCAAAAAAACATGGACCGAAAGTGAGAAAGTTGCGTTTGATCTTTGTTTACGTTGTTTCAATGAAGCATTTGCCCCCCGGGGGGGGGGGTGGTGTTTTTGGGGGGGGGGGGGGGGGGGGCAGTCTTCAGACTTCACATACAGATCCCAAAGATCGGATCCGTTGGGCACACAAAACCACAGACTCCGTGGAGCCGGGCTGGGTGCCCCTGCTGTAAGTGTAAACTCATCAACGAGGGGATTCATTTGGACTAATTGTCCACTGTGATCTCCTCGTTAGCGACCGTTTGAAGTGCAGGAATGGGGGGGGGGGCAAACAAAGCTCAGGAAAGCAGGCCATGTGGTCTGTCTCTGTTTAGGCAGGGGTAGGAAAAGATGTTTGCTATTGGGTTTGTTGTCAGCCCTGATTTAATTTATTATTTGTTGTTCGTATGGATCTGTTTGACTGGTCTCATCTCATACTGATACGTACCTGGAATCAAAGGAGAGTGAGCTGTGATGTGAACCTTAACCACTTTTATCAGTGCACTCTTCACCTCTAGCCTTGTACAGATAAGACAGGGTGATGTATTCATGTGAAAGTAATCCACAATAAAGATTAGAATATCTTTCAAGACACAGGCCACATCTCGTGTCAAGAGAGAAAAACAACACAGCATCCATTGTTGGAATAGAAGATAAAACTTTATTCAATCATAAATAGACATCTGTAATTATATACAACACCAGTCTGTTTCAGACCATGCGAAATAAAATAGAATCGGATAATAAAAAAAACAAACAGCTCGGAATAGCACCGTAAGTGTTTTGGAGTGGGAAAAGTCTTTGGGTTTTGTTAAGTTTTTAGTAGAAATGCGGGTGGTGGATCACGAGATGAGGCCCGTGTGGGAGAGGCATGTGCTGCGGCCGGAGGAGCAGCTGGTGACCGGCCACCGGGTGGTAGTGGACCCGGGGCAGAGGCCGGAAGGCCACGGCCGGCAGCTGTGGGGCGAGGTAGTCCTGCACCTCACGCTTCAGCTTCATCCTCCTGTTCTGAAACCACGTCCTCACCTGAGAAAAAAAAAGCAAACCAACAAAGTTAACACCAAAACCACTGCGCGCATGGGGGGCCCTCTTATTTCTTTTATCACGTATAAAATATAAGAAGGGTCCTTTCTCACCTGGGTTTCCGTGAGGTTCAGCTTTTGCGCCGTCTTCACCCGCTCTCCAGAGTCCAGGTATTTGTGCTTGCTGAAGATTTTCTCCAGCTTGCTGATCTGCTCCGGGCTGAACTTTGTGCGCACGCGGCGCTGGGCTCCGTCTCTCTCCGCTTCGGTGCCTTCGTCCACGGAGAAACACTCAGAGGAAGCCACTTCGCTCTCGTACCCGGAGGAATAGCCGCTGGTTTCTGAAACTGAAAAAAAAAAAAAAAGACAAGCTATTGTTACATCTCTGCCTCTATAAGATGAAAAAAAGTTAAAAGTTAAAAAAGGAGTGACGCGCTGCTGCTGCTTACTTGGCGAGGGGCAGTTTTGGGGATGCGGGGACGCGAAGGGTTCCGCGCGTTCCGGAGCGGGCCTGGACGGTTTGGGCTTCGGCTGCAGGTAGCTCTTGCCGAAGGTGGGCGCGCTCGGCTGGACCATGCAGGCCACGTGGGGCCGGCAGGTCGGCGCGGGGTCCGCGCCCGCTCCCCGGTCCCCGCGATGGCTCTGGGCCAGCCAGTCCACGGAAAAGTACTTCACCATGTTCTCAGGGTCCGTAAATCCAACAAACGTCAAAAGGGGGGAAGAGTGCTGTGGCTTCTGTCCCCGGCGAAGGGGCCGGCGTTTATAGGGCCCAGGCCGCGTGGAATTTGCATATGTAGAGACCTCTGTTAACGCCTGATCGATCCGCGTGATTAGGGGATAATGGCTCGTTATTGAAGTCTTCACATATCCTGTGAGTGTGTGAAGACCTGGCGCCACCGAGTCTGCGAGGGCCCTCCTGAGCTCATACAATTGCCCAGACGAAACTTCTAAAAGGGGGGGGGGGACACTGAAAAACTGGTCCCCTGCAGAGGTGATGACCACATACCTTTACATCTGTAAGACTCTGAGGCTAAATTATAAACAGGACTGGTTTTATGATTGAACCCAAAGACTGATTTAGGAGAGATCTCCATCTTTTTTTTTCTAATCCTGGAATCTCAGAACACTTTATTGCCTTCCAGATTTCTGGGGACTGCCTTTCACACATAAGAGAAGATAGTTTAAGCAGAGGAGCAACATTTGGATACATGATAAAGTATTTAAATCCATTTTAGGGTTATGTATTGGGTCGTTTAGTCCAATATATTCCCAAGTTGAGCTTGTGACTCTTACTTTCCACCAACAGACTGCAGCATGGGCTTTCACTCTTTGTTTGGGCGACAGAGCAAAAAACTAAATGCTCACATAAAGATAGAAAACTAGTCCCATAAGTTAGAAGACAATCAACTGAAAGTAACAACTAGGCCAAAGTCAGGTTTGACCATACAACTATTCAACTTTTCTGACTCAGATGAGTTTGGCTTAGTTTTTTGGTAACATCTCTTGCATATAAAAGGCTATGCATATCTTATTACTTTATTTATATCAAATATGCTTTAAACTTTTGAGTAAAATTCTACATTTCGAAATTAACCTGGGCCTGATTCTATCCAGCAGTCTTATGTAAGAAAGTCCCAGATTTGACTCCCAGATCAAAATATGATTGAAATACGTGAATATTGACATTAAAGACTTCAAGTTCTCACTGTCTCCCTTATAATTTGCACACAGCTTCTCACATGCAAATTTCTGAACAGGAAATGTGAAGTAATGTTCAGAAACATATATCCCATTTAAAAAGAGGCGAATGTGGTCAGTATGTTGCTCTCTATATAGCCTGGCTATAAGCCTTTTTTTTTTTTTTGGTGCGATCAGAACATTATTTTAGGACAGGACTGATGCACTTGGATCGCCTGGACTCAGATGGGGGGGCAAACATCAGGCGGTTTGGTGCTGTCGGTGACACCCCGGCGGGCCCTGGCGCCAGCAGAATTTGGCACAGGCGCTCCAAACATTGCAGATCAAAGGCATTACAGTAGCAACACAATTAGAAGGCGTTCACATGTAAATTGGCCAGCATAAGCCGCGAGGAAGCCGGGGGAAAGTCTGCGAACGCAAACAGACCCCATTTGGAAATCTGTGCGCCCTAGTATTGAGGACGCGGACCTCTGAGCGGATCATAATTCACCTAAACTGGGTTTTAGTTGTCAATCTTTTACAGTTTCGGTATTGATGATAAATGATCAAGCAGTCATGAGGTTTTGGCTCCATAGTTCCCTTGAGAACTGTGTGATTGCCCCCCCCCCCCCCCCTCTGAGGGGTCCCTGCGAGAGGCAGCTCCGGGACAATAACACTAAACTGATCGTTTAGTTATATAACAAAGCAGATAAGAGGCAGTGCCTGTTGTCTTTTTTTTTTTTATCGGTGATCTGTCGCTTTGGAGGTGGGAGTCCATTCAGCCTTTTGGGGGCTCTTTATCTCGCGGGCTTTGAAGGTGCGCCCCTGATCCCGTCCGATAACAATATGAAACGGACGGGACGCCGCCTCCACACTGAGCCCATTTCCTCAGCTCAGCCCCCGTCCGAGACCCAGAGCCGCACCGGAGAGTCTGGGGGGGGGGGGGGTTACAGTACAAGCCTGGACACAATCACATCATCTGGAACAATCAAGTAGCATTTGATCGTCATATTTGAGGTCTCTGGGACAATAACACAATGTGCCAACACTGAGTTTGGTCTGCTGTAGTTTGGAAGTTTTTCAATTATTTCATTGCCATATTAAGCAAAAAAAAATTTGAATAAAAAACAACTTGAATAATGAATAAAATAAAATGAATATTTTGACAATCTTGCATAATGTGTGCATCTTTTTAAATCAAAGTTGTCAATAAAGTGAAAAAAACTTGATAATTTTGAATTGAATGGCAGTTACATTCCTCAAAAGGGTAATACAGTGCAGGAAAAGGAAATGGTATTCAAAAGAAAGAGCTTATTGCATATTACAATGAATGTACCAAACATATTCTGGATATATTCTCAAACATATAATCATATGTAGCATATGTGGAAACTATGGAAGAATCGTCATGTAAAAGGAGACAGCCAACAATCCTCGTGCTCAACATCCCTCATGTTCTTCAAGCTCTCAGGCAGCCCATAATAGAAAAAGACATCATAGAAATCCCTGCTTTGGCTCTGAAACACTTAAAAAAAAAAAATCTGCATCAGCAAAGTTGATTATACCATCCACAAAAGCATGTTAAAAGTTTAATAATGCAAGAAGTAGAGACATTTAACTTTGATCTATCAACAGAGGAGTCTAATACCTGCAAACATCCTACAAACCGTTTAAAAGTATAAGATATATTTAACATATTAATCATGTTTAATGTTCTTTTGCCATAGAGCTCATTCATACCGTGAAATATGAAAGTCGAAAAATAAAGCCTCACTAAATAACCTCACCATCTTTCTTCATAATAGGACTTTCAAATTGAATATTTGCACAAAATGGTTAATTTCCTTGTTATCGCTCTCAAAAATAATCAGATGAGATGGCAGACTAATCAGCGCATCAGCGAAAAAGTGATAAAGAGTCCTCGAAATCAAATGTTTTACAGTCACTGAAAACGCAATTTAGCTGTTAAACCACAGAAGATCATGCAAAAGAAGAACGCAAATCAATTCTCTCATGTTACCAACTCCTGAATAGTGGGTGGAGGCTCTAACCTGCCACATCGCTTTTCCATCACGCTCATTGTTGACAATAACACACCGTGGCAAGATAGGGGCTTATAAAATCTAATTTATTTGGATAAATTAAGCAAATCTTAATGGCACGTCACATTCCATCTCCATGGCGGGTTTCACGGCACATAACCATGGAGGGGAGAGGGGTGGGAGGGAGATAGAAAAATGGACAACGGTTGAACATCATTCCTCCAATGACATTTTGCACAGTGACATCTCATTATGTTCCATCATTTGCTCTGTAATGGTAAGACTTTTACCCCCCCCCACCCCGCACCCCCCCATCCCCCACCCCATCCCACAACTGTATCTTGTCTCTTTGTCCTACACCACACACAACTGATAATGACTACATTTATTACTCCTTGTGCCGCTTCAATGTCATCAGTTGGAGATATTCATTTATCACTCTGGGCATGTAATTTCATTTTGATTCCTAATTGGTTAGCGCCACAGAAACTACGTGCTGCGAGGTAACCGGCGAATGGACGCGTGCTGCATGCTGCATTCTGCTGTGGGTTAAGTACAACTGAGAAATGACCCGGCTATATTACGGTGGTTTCATTTCAATAACCGACATGACTGGATTAACTTGCAGGGGTGTTCCTACACAGCATACACTGGGACCCATCAGCATCCCTCTTTCTATGCATACACTGTATTTTTCTCTGCAAAATGGTACATTACCAAGCTGCTGGGTAATGGTTATGGGAGGTACACAGGCACAATGTGAGGCTGAATATCTACCTTTTTCAGTGTACAACTATTTCTGTCAATCTTCCCGAAGGACACTGAATCATTCCGAAACGTCTCATTGTAATGACCGAGTCACACTCTTCTCCAAACTGCTTCGGTACCAGGTGTTGACTGCAGAATCAGTGACATATGCATTGCTGAAACCTTTCATGTTGTTTAGCGGTTTCACAGGAAACTCGGATAACTCCTTTTTTTCTAGAGTTTTGAATTGGTTTGTCATGATGGACAGTCTTTTTTTATTTTCTCCATTGACCAATCAAGTAAAGTTCCCTTTTTTTTTTTAAAGAAGCAATGAAAACAGCCATCTGAACCCAAGCTTAGAAAAAACTCTTTATGCTGAATGCTACAGATAGCATGCGAAAATACACTGTTGAGATGGCAGGGTAATAAACCAGATCAAGTTATTAGTTCAATGCTATAAAACAGTCATCGCAGCTCATTTGGAATCATCACTGACTAAAAGTTTCCAGTCCATTCGAGTTGGCTCTCTGAGGCTAAAGGACCCAACAGCAGCTTTGTGCTGAATCCTGATGTTAGCATGCTAACATGCTCCCTCAAACATATGGGGCAAAATAATAAAATACTGTTCAAATCAAGTCAGTTGTGACATGTCAAAGTCAGCAAATAGCTAAACATGTTACAATTCAGAACATGAAGGTTTAACATCCCATGAAACAGGATAGCCACTTGTTATGAATTCTTAACTGAAATATAGACAGGGAGCCAGAGTCTATTAAAATAATATTTTTAGACACAAACTGTTTAAACAAACTGGTTAATTCACTGTGGACCAGAGTGGTGGGCAGACCCGAGACATGTCAGAGTTCAGAAATGATGAGTAGAATATGCCAGCTGATATTGTGCTTTAGCTGTGCCAGTCCTCAGAATGTTCCAATCAGTCCTTTTTTTTCCTTCATATTGTCAAATATGAACCTCTGGTCGACATTTTCCTGCTTCTTTCTGTTGGCAGTTCGACCTGGACGCCACGCGCCATGTTCAGTCCACATAGGAGTCCACGGAACCTTAGAAGCACAAGTACTCACCCACCACGCAAAAAATAAATAAAATAGATTAGCATGAACCGAGGAAAGGTTCATTTATAAATGTTTAACATCATCTGATACCTTTTTTGGGGGGAATCTAGTGTCAAATGCCAATAGATGAATATGGACCTGCCAAACTTTGAGGTTTTGCCTGGAATTCTAAACTGATAAAAGACTCAAGGTAAGGAGAATTTATATCCAGTGGTCTTTGAATAAGCTTTCTGGTCATCTATCTTTGCTGACAGAAGGGCAGAAGCACCTTTGGTTTCGGACGTGGGGTGTTGACCTGGTGGTGACCGCTAGCTTGGGGATGGAAAGAGGGTCACTGGAAGGTGGCCTTCACCCGCCGCAGCCGGTCCTGGATCCGCCGCGTCTGGCGCTCGCAGGACTGCTGGAGGCCGGCCTCGCCGCCGCCGGCCGCCAGCTGGACGTCGGAGGCGGCCAGCCAGGCCATGCGCTGGCGCAGGTAGGCCTGCAGGTCGCGGTCCGGGCCGTAGGAGTACACGGCCTCCTGGAAGGCCTGGACCTGGCTCACCACCTTGGCGATGTTTCTAGAACCGCCGGCCAAAAAACATTTAAAAAAAACGGGGACACAGAGTAAAGACAGAGTGACCACGCGAACGGGGGGGGGGTTCGGTGGGCGCGCTTATCTGCTTTTTCCTTCTTAGGAAAAAACCGCCGGCCGTCTCTCTGACCTGATTTGGAGAGCGCCGGGGGCAGGCAGAGACTTAGAAACAACCAGCTGTGTTCCCTCCTTTCCCTGCTGGATCTCCTGACCCCTGCATCTGGCCGCAGCCAATCGCCTCTCAGCATCTGGCCAGAAGAGTCCTCTCTCAAATCCAGCTACACCCCAAACCGCCGCCATCTGGAGCCCCTCCCCCCCCTCCGAAATGAGCATCTGTGTCATTACCGTCACGCCGCCAATTCGGGCGACCTCTGCATCTGGTCGGCCATATTGGAAAAAAATGGGAAGGGAGCAGGAAAAGACGTCCTCTTTGCGAGTCGGCTGACTTTGTCATAAAGCCGATTCCCCCCCCACCCTCCCCACCCACGACGGCTCTAAATGCCCATCCTTTGTGTCGCGGCAGGAGCAGGAACGGGGCTCGTTTCACAGACGAGACGCGTATTTGACGAGCATCCCTCCTTTTCAAACGGGGATATTAGTCTGCCATCACGCTGTGCTCCGCAGTAATCCAATCCATAATTTACAGCCTGCTCTCGGTACCAGCAGAGCCGGGTTGTTGGAGAGCCTTGGCACGGTGAGGGCTAACACATTCACCATTTCTTTTTTTTGTGCGTGGTGGAGCCTGCATCGGAGCTCAGAGGCCGAGAGAGGTTAATCATTTTGAGTTCACGCCGGGCCCCCTGAGATTTGATTTTTCTAATTACAAAGAAGACACACTGCGTCCGGCAGCTTGGCTTCTGGAATAAAAAAAAAAAAGGAAAAAAAAAAAAAGTTTCTTGGACACAAATGTCGGTTAAACATTGTCCACATTAAGAAGGAAAAAAATAAATCAATCGTTAAAATCGCGGCTTGGAAAAGATTTGTAGGAGATGGAGACCGCAGTTCAGAGTCTTATAAACCGTGATGTTAAAATCTGTGCATTTTGCTTTTCGGGAAGCTTTCTAACAAAGAAGAACCTGAACATTTTGCAAACCAAGACCAGTGCGGAGGGCAGGGAAGGGCACCTCTAGCAGGGCTAGTCAGCTGGAGTCAAGCTCAACCCACCTTCACCCTCTAAGCAAAGGCTGCTTTTGATCTGCTAAGCTTAGCCGGTGTGGTTTTTTGGGACTGTGAACACATGCGGCTCCTACAACCCGAGTGAAGCCGGGATGATTTTTCAGCCTTTTATGTTCCTCCAGAATTCCTATTCTTGCTGGGATGTACATAACAAATAGGACGGAGGTAAAGTCAAACTGCCCCATATCATCAGAAAACGGAAGCTTGGACATATAAAACAAAGCCAGAGTTTTTTTTCGGTTTGTGTTGTCAACCCTCCTGAAGCATGAACAGGCTTTTTCTTTTCTGAAGTAATCTACAAAAATGGTTCTCCAGACTTTTTAAAGGAGATCCTAAAGCTCTCCTTTGGATATTTTTTTTGTCTTTTTTCTGCTCTGTTTTTTTAAGGACCTGACAGTTCTTTTTTGTCTTTTATTTACAGATATATTTTAAAGTTTTCTGTTTTTATTTCTAAAAAAGGGCAGTTTTCAGTTAGAAATTAGTTCCTAACAGAGAAGCCGAGTTGGTAGTAGTAGAATACCCCAATTTATGGTTAGAAAATTGCATTTTATTCCCTTCAACTGTCTTTTATTTTGGAATTATATATTTATAGAGTGAACAAATGTAGGATCTTTGAAATAAAGTGTCTAAAGATGTAAGCGGTAGAGTCTCTTTTTTGGAGGGAAAGCCAGCGAAACTACACTGGTTCATCCCTTTAGGTGCCATTCTTAATAATCCAAGTACAAAGACTGGATAGAAAATGAATAGAAAAAGCAGCCAATGCTCAATAAAAACAAAATATTTGAGAACTATTATTCATGCCACTCCAGGGGCTTTAAGGAGAGGCTGTAGGGAGGAGCAGGTATTGCTAGAACCATTCAGGACACCAGGACTTCCTCAGCTATCTTTCGCAACCCAGAAATACCTGAGTTTGTTCCACTTGTAGGCCCCGGAGGTGAGAGTGAACGCGCCGATCTCCAGCTGCTGAACGTGCATGGCCAAGATGTGCGCCGGGGGCAGCGTGGGCCTCTTCCTCGCCTGTTCCCCTCCCATCAGACACAGATCGTCGCTCTTCAGGAAAACCTGAGGAGGGCATCATTTATCCATGAAGATGCACCGATCGCTTGTGGAGAGAGTTTGCTTTTTTTTAATGCTAAATTCTGCTACGGGCTAAACAGAAAGAGTTTGGGAGCGATGCATGTTGTGTGCTGTATCAGGTTCTTTCGAGGGCAGCTCTCAGAAAACATGGTAGTTGCTTGGAGTCTTTTTTTTTTCTTTTTCCTATTGACTTGTTTGCCCCGCAGCCCGGTTTCACAATATGTGGCCAAACACAAACAGGCGCGTGCGCACACCTGCACGGCTCGGAGCTCTTCCAGGATCTCGCACACCTTGGAAGCCAGATGTTTCCAAGCCTGTCGGAGAGAAGAGGCGTCTTGTTTTATTTAACAGCGCCAAAAACGAGGCCAAATGATGCAGGAGCCTCCATGTGATACCACGATCGGTGAATATAACCTGCCTCCAGATGAGGACATGGAAATTTCCACTTCTAATTGGGAGTTTTCTTTCTTTCTAAATGACTCTCTTTCACACCCACACCCTCCTCACACTTTACACATCTTATTTGAATTTATTAATGTTAATTTCCCAATTGTGAAACTAATTAAATACCATCCAACCTCGATCACAGTTGGACCACAAAAAAAAAGAAGGCTGGGGTGGGAGAAGGAGAAAAAACATGTAGCTTAGGGGCACCAGACTTATTAGAAAAACTGTGAATTTGTGTCAGGAGGAATTTTTAATGTGCAGCCTTACTGGTAATTGCCTGACAATCACATTCTCCAGACCTCCGAGGAGCTGCATGGCTGTGGCAAAGTTTCTCGACTCGTAGCAGTGTTTTCCTACCCACAGGTACTTGGTCAGCAAGGCAACTTGGGTCTGCAAGAAAGCAGAACTTACGGTGATAAAATAGAAAAAAAGGGGGGGAAAAAACATGAGAAAATGTTTAAATAAGCAAAGAAAATGAAGAGCTTCTCTACGGCTCACTACCCCACAGCTCACTGCATAATGAAGCGTGCTCACTGGAAAAAAAAACAAGTAAAACCCCTGGATGTTACTGATGCTGATTAGTGCTGAGCGCTGAAATCGGAGCGCTGAAATCAGCAAAAGTTCAAAAATCAGAAGTGTTTTCCCTTTTAAAATCTTATTCAAAGTAACTGTGAACTGAAAACTAAAACTTATATACACCGTTATAAGTAGTGGTTGTCAGGACTCATTGTAAATCATCAGGACTAAGTAAAAAGACAAAAGAAGAATGACAATTCCTTGAAAACAGTAACAATTGATTATTTTTAAGTTATGGTGGCATGGTTCTTCACCTTGAAGACCCAGCTCTTTCTCTTTCGGTACTTCACTCTATATCTACACTGTCACCACTCTAATCTGAGTAGTGACTTTCGTCTATGTAGCTTATTTTCAGGTTAATGTAAACATCAATGTTGTATCTGCTTTGGATAAAAGTGTCAGCTAAATGCATAACCATGAACACATAAATATATATATCTGACAGCTCATGCAAAGAAAAAGCTGTCAGACTTATGTGTTCTTTCGCCCAACAATCCATGAACCATCCAGCTATCAAACCAAAGAGAAGGACTGTCCACTGTCCAAATGAAAAAAAAAAGTCTGTCTTTCTTTCTTTCTTGCTTTCTTTCTTCGCCTCCTCTCACCTTGACGGAGTCACAGAGGATTATTTCGGTGGAGATCCAGTTGGCGACGGCGTCGGCGTAGGAGAGCAGCCGCTGCAGGCGGCTGTCTGGAGGGGTCCCCTCCTGGACCAGCACACCGCCCGTCTCTGCTGGAGGGATGTGCTGAGACACATTCCTGGGTTGGGGAAAAACAGGAAAATCAAACCTAGAAGCAGTGACTGTTCAAATCTAAACCTAAAGAGGCTAGGGACGAATGAATGTCTGCTTGATAATTGCTTGGCTGGAGCAACTCCTCAACCAACAACGTTTGAGAATAAAAAAAGAGAGGAAAATAGGGTGATGAAATAGTTTTGCTCCAGAGAAATAAAACACGTCAATAAAAAATAACAAAATCAATAATCAATAATTAGGGACTCCTGTTCTTATAAGTATGTTTTCATGTCACCTTGTGTGTGTACCTGGAAATGTTTAAACGGTCGGTACAGAATGAGGGCCGATGTGTGCTTATGTTTAGAAGTATGACTTATCAAACTAAGATTTAGCTTTAACCTGCCATACATATTCAAAACTCAAGTTGACAGGATATTTTTGCATAAGCCAGAAAAGGAGAATCGACAAAAGGCTATCATAGTGCTTATAGACTTATAGTGCAAACAGATGAGTGAAAAAGGTCAATAACAAAAACAAGCTCATTTTCTCTGGGCCCTGATGCTATTTGGAGGAGCCTAAGCAGTCTTGGTACTCACTTGTTCAAACTCAGGGCATTATCTCTCACTCCTTGTATTCTGGAGTTGAGGAAATGAACCGGGTGGCATCCTTGGAATATTTCCTGCAAGAAGAATCAGAAGGCAAAACCCCTTTCAAATCAAACGGGAGGTCTGCGGCAGAATTTGTGGTGGCGTGTCTCCCTCTGGTGGCCCGGGCGGGCCACGGCGGGGGTGAGGAACGCACCTGCTGCAGGAGGGTGAGCTGCTGGGCCACGTGCTGCGCGGCGAAGTCCGTCTGGCCGAACGGGAGCTGCTCGTTGCTCTGCGGGCAGATGTTGGCGAGGTCGTAGCAGTGCACGGGCAGGGCGGCGGCGATGGAGAAGGCCTTGTCTTTGGACGCGGAGGCGGAGGGCTCCACCATCCGCGAGATCCTCCACTGAGAAAAAAAACGCAGATCGGACTTAAATTAAATCCCCCCCCCCCTGAAAATCAGGAAATAGGGGTGGGACGGTTCACAAAATCCACGGTTCGGTTCGATTCACGGTTTCGTGGTCACGGTTTTCGGTTCGGTTCGGTATATGTTGATTGTTAGGAAAATCTATTATGTCTTGTATAGTTAGGTTAAAACTGAAAGAAAAAAAAGCAGTCTGACTTTTGATACATTATTGTGACAGTCTGAGGTTAAAAGTAGGTGAGATTCTGGCATTGAAAGCGAGGAGACAGTGCTAGTTCCAACAAGTGCTTCCCTCTAAATGCAAAGTGGTCCCATACAGCAGACCTAGAAACTGCTGTTGGCGCGTCGGATTTTTATCGGCTACGCTGCTTCGCTTCTTCTTCTTCTTCTTCTTCTTCTTCTTCTTCTTCTTCTTGTTTACTACTGGTGGTTGGCTTTGAGCGCAGTAGCGCCACCTTCTGCTCTGGAGATTACACGCTTCCCTCTGACAAAAAAGGAGCAGTGCATGAACCGAACGCAACACATGCGAACCGAACCGAGACAGTCCAACCCAACGGTTCGGACGGTTTTCAGAAACCGTCCCATCCCTATCAGGAAAGCACGCCCGGACCCGTGCCGGACACCCGACTGACCTTCCTGCTGAGATCCTCTGAGGACGAACGCAAACAGAGAGACTCCTCGTCTTCGTCGAAGCTGAGCAGGCTGCCCCTCGACCGGCTCAGCGCCGCCGCGCTTTGGCGCCCGCGGAGGGCGGCGAGGAGGGCCTCCCCCCGCCCGTCTACAGGAATCACCTGCCGAGCAACACACACACACACACACACACACACACTCAGACAATCGTTTAAGATTCTTCCATCATGAGTTTAGGTGGCTTTTTTGGAGCTTTGCTCATGTAAGAATAGATCAGGATATCCACCACCTGCACTAACTGAAGCCTGTTGTAGCCTCACTAGTCTTTTGGTCACTGTAACTTTTTTATTTAGTTACCTCCCCCTGTAATTGTTTTTACTTATGTCTCTACTAGACTTGTGTTTTTCCCTTTCGGCCCTTTGCGTGTTGTTTGTACTGCTGCTGTAACGTGTGAATTTCCCCCTCAACCAAGTACTCTCACCTAATATCTCACCTAATCTGATCTAGATGGGAGAAGAAAGTCAAAAGTATGCACCTCGGCATTAAGAAACCTCTCTAACGAATCCACGAGGCTGGGGTTCGGGGTGAAATCCACCGGTTTGCACTCGACTATCCAGAGCCGAAGCAGGTCCAAGCTGCGATGGAAGACCCTTTCGCTGTCGCCCGACATGCCGGGGCCCTCCCTGGGAGAGAGAACGAGAGAGAAGAAAACGGCCCTTGTGGGATCTGCGGGGTTCACAGATCGGCCCTCTGGTCTGGTCCCGCTTGGTTTTACCTGGCGGCGCTGCTGAATTTCCCCATGAGGAAGTGCAGGAGCTGCTCCGGCGTGCAGAAGAAACGGTACGTGTACAGAAACTGCTGGATGTAGCCCCCCGCAGCAGCGTGCCTGGGATAAAAAAAAGGGATCGGGAATAAGCCTCCACAAACAACAACACACAGGCACGTCCTCTTTCCATTCCAACACACAGCCTCAGACGAGCAACGGCACATGACATGTCACACCACGGCATTTATTCAGAAAAGGATAAATAAAGGCCAATGAAGAAACGGGGCGAGAAAAAAAAAAAACCCTCAGTCCAGTTCGACCTCGACTCGATCTAAAACAGGATTCCGTATCCAGGTGGCTGGCAGGTTTGATTGAGACCGTCGGCTTGTGAACAGCCCTTGTCGGTGCATTTGAAAAATAAACAAGCACAAAGGAGAGCCACGCAGGGCCGGCAAACAGCAAAGCTCCTGATGATAAAAAAATAAATAAATTAAGCAGCCCGTTTATGGTGACGTCTCCCAGTGTGGCAAGAGTTGGCAAAAATGAGAAAAATATGTCACAGGGTGAAGGCTTTGGCCAATCAAAGTCGTTTTGAACCGTTTCCCTGCCTCACAAAGAGCTTATTAGCGTAAAAAAACAAAAAAAAAACAAACAGACCCCACAGTGTCATAGTTGCACAATCGATTAATTAACACTAAAACAGAAGCCGGTGATTTTTATCAGGCAAATCCATTTGTTAGACATTCACAAACAGAATGTGCAGCTACAGGATCTGCAGGACACCCTCATCCTTTGGTGCTATTGGTCTACCTTTAATGCCTTTGATCGTGCATAAGAGGAAAATTTGGTATTCTACTGGATAATGTTGTGACTTGAGCTCGGATTTCCAGTCCTTTTTTGTATTCAGACTTTTCAGTTCCTCCTCTCCAGTTTGAGGAAAGAAAAAACCTGCACCTTATGCCAACATTTTTTTTAAATTTAACAATGGATGAATTAGTTTCAGAGCGATATTCACCAAGTTTTTTCTACTCCTGGTGACAGTCCGATCTGTGGCCTGACTCTCGTGGGCCGTACCTGGCGTAAAGGTGAGCCATGAGGCCCAGAGGAGACCCGGCCTGCAGGGCCACCTTCCCTTTGCTGGTGCCGAAGCTCAGAACCGAGGGGTCCTCCGAGGACTGGAGATCCAACGAGTCAGGTCCGCACGCGGCCAGGGAGGGCAGCAGCGAGACCTCCAACCCCCACTGGTCAACGCTCAGGATCTGGGGGGAGGAGACTCCATCAAAAGTCGAGAGGAAGCCGAACGCGTCTGAGGGGAGGGTGGGAGCCGGTCCTACCTCGAGGTACTTCCTCACGCAGTCCAGGAAGAGCACCCTGGATCTGAGCTCCTCCAGCTGGGACCTCAGCTTGGAGAGCATCAGCTTGCCCTCCGACCCTTTGGGACGCGGCACACAGATTACCATCTCACCGACCCGTCCGGCACACAGCAGGCCTCAAAGCTTTCGGGGGGGGGCACACTAACCTTTGCTTTTCCTCTCCTGCTGGAGCAGCCTCTGGTAGAAGTTCCTGGTCTTCTTCAGGTTCCTGGTCTCGATGAGCAGCTGCTGCTGCAGTTCCTGCGCAGAATCACACAAAAAGGTCCCGAGCGTTACGCCACGTGGCCCCCTGTTTTTTTTTATTTTTTCACAAGAAGTGGCCGTCGGGTGTTTCCACCGCCACCCCCCCTCCCCCCCTCCCTCCCTCCCTCCCTCTTTGTCTTCTCGCCCTGGCAACGGAACATAACAGCTCTTTTGAAGTGAAACGGGCGAGAAGTCGCAGCAGCGCCGCGGTTTAAAGGTGTGTTATCATCTCCTCCACCAGCGTTTCCCAGGAAGGCGCTGGCGCCTTCAAAGTGTGCACACACAAAGGCTGTTCATTAATATTCTTTTGCATATGATAATAACTTCCTCTGCCAAAGGCCAAGTTCAGCACATTAATATTCAGATCCAGTTAGAGGGGGAGTAATATGCCAATTATCTTTTAAATCCCCCACACGCCGCTCGTCCTATTTACCCACAAAAACTCTGAGAGGGACCCATTTCATTAGAGATAGGGAAATCATTTGAACGCCAGGAAAAGACTTGGCCAGGTGAACGCCAGACTGAAACCGTCGGATTGAGTGACTTCAAAGCATTTTTTCCTTCGCACTTCATCGACGTGGAGAGTTTGAGCCTATTTATTTTCTTTCTTTTTTTTCCCCTTTACGTCTAAGCCGACTCATCAAAAAAAAAAGATGTCAGTTCATTAGCAAGTCATATCCCCGTTTTACAAAAGAAAAGAAAAAAAATACACAGTGGAGAAATGACTTGGATGAGAAAGCCTGATGAATAAATCATGTTGAGCGTCGGGCCGTCGGGGATAAGGTCAGAGATGACTCACTGCCCGCGGCCACAGGTTCACCCACCTGTGCTTTCGCCTCCAGACTGGCCGACCCCATGTGTTTCCCCAGGTTCAGGGCGTAGTCGGTCACCTCCGGGCCGAAGCAGTCCTCCCCGAAGAAGGCCAGGGCCCAGCCGGGGCCGGGGCCCAGGCCTCCGGGCGGGAGGAGGCGCTCCGGCGCCGACCAGTCGCCGTCCTCCATGTCGTCCGGGCGACAGTCCGGGCTCATCTGCTGGTCTCTCCCCGACAGGAAGTGGGCTTCAGAGGGGCTTTCATCGCTGCCCCCCGCTGAATGGTCCCCTCCCTCCATGGCCCCGGAGTCCCGACTGCAAGCCTTCGCACCTCGAGTGGTAAACAGAAACAGCAGAGAGAGAGGGGGCGAGGAGAGGGGGAGAGGGGTGGGGGGGGCAGATCACATGGAAAGCACAAAAAACTAAATGGATTTGTGCATACAACACAGAGAGAGATACCCAAAAGTGGCGCTGGGGGAGTTTGTTGCTAACCTCGCCACAGCTGCACAATGCACTCATTGTTTACCAAGTCAGCTTGCAGGCTCAACTTCTGTCACTACCTTTTTTTTTTTCTTTTTTTTTTATTCCTTCTATTTTTAAAATCACACACAGCTTTTCCGAGCTCGGTCGTAATCGATTTATCACATCCAGCTTGGTTTAAGAGCACAACAAATACAGATCCGTGTTTTTTTTTTGTGTGTCTGTGCGTGAATGTCAGAGGCCAGGAATGAATTCAGGGCATCAAAAGAAAGGAAAAGAAAAGAAAAGAAAAGGGGAAACTCTTTGGAGTTTGCAAGCATGCCATATGCTGAGAGCTTAAGAACAGCATCCAGTAGCCAGTCAGTGGAACTCGTGACTTCAGTCAGCAGGCATGTAAAGAGACACGTCTCAAAACATCACAGAGGGGCCGGAGAAGCAGGAAATGGATCTATGTGACTCAAAAAAGCCTTTAGAAAACCTTAATGTGTGTCTGTGAGGGGTTTGAGAGGGAAGACATAATGTATTGAGGTTTCTTGCTGGTCACCCGGCAGGTGCATGGTGCGGATTGTCACAGAGGGTTTGAGTCGGATTTGAAATCCAAATTCAGAGCTGCGGATTCGTGAACGAGATTTGTGCTCCTCGTTAGGAGCGCTAACGGACAATCGATTGTGTCTGTGTAAAGAAGGATGAGAGCTTAAATTTCTTAAAGGCCCCAAGAACAAATCCAGCTGCTCTAATTCAAGTTCGCTGGACATGCAGGAGAGGCTCAAACCACGACGCCATCGGTTAAGGTTGACATAGTTTTTAGAAATCCTGTTTTGGTGAGACTTGAACAATGTAAACATGGATTCTGATGAAAAAACAGGTCTCCTGGTCCATCCCACCAAATTGATGCCATAAGGCACCTCCCCCATAAATCCATTCTGTTACGAGTAGTCAGCGTAAATTGCTTAAAGAAACATCGCCTACCATTATGCATAACCTCTGTTGGTTATTGTGTTTAGAATCATTCATTGGGTGCTAATCTACTTTAATCCTTATGCTAAAAACTTTAAAAGTTTTTATTCATCCTTGTAGTATGGAAATGAACTTGAGGAGCAGATGAGAAGACATTGTGACAACCATATCAGAATATTAAAATATTTTTTTGTGTAATTGCAGTCGTTTAAGTTAAACTAATTCTATTCATGTAACTGCAGAGCAATAGTTGGGGACATTTTCCAGCATTGTGACCAGCTTTTGTTGTCGCTGCATTGTTCATTTAGCACTAAACCCCTAATTTTACTCCAGGGAGGGAAGAGTTTCACTTTGGGAGTCAAACAGAATAACCTGCCCTTTGTTTCACAGGGAAGGTTATTCTTTTTGATAAGGGGTAGTAACGTGTTTAGGATCAAGATGCCGAAAAAAATTAAACAAATGAAATAGTTATGAGATTAGACAAATTATCTTTATGAACTCTACTCCACTGGAGCTGGAGATGAGATCAAGCGCAAATGGCCTAGATGAGTGAACGCCGGGCCCAGATGTGAGCAGATGTGAGCAGGCCGGGCGGGTCCCTTACCTTGACGTGGAGGGCGCCCGCTTTGCTCTGGTCCCAGAGCCTCCTTCCCCCCGGGGCGGGAGCGGGCCTGGGCTCCTTCCCGAGAGTCCGCCGCGACGGGGCCGCTCGTGCGAATGTTTCCATTCAGGTCGAGGCAAACTCGTCCCTTCCCTCTGCCGAGGCTGGCTGCAAAGGGCGGGGGGAGCGCCGCCCTTTTCGCCGCCTTTGATGAAGCCTGCTCATTAAGGCCGCTGTGAGGGGGCGCATTAGGACGGAGAAAACACACAGCGCGTTCACAGCCGGGGACAATTAGCATTTATTAAGATAACACCGACAATGACCACGGCACGCATGTAAGTCATTACAAAAAAAAAAGGAGGTTGTGAACAAACAAGGAACCTACAGCTGTCGCATCTATTCCTACAAATAAATGTCTTTCGTCAGTTGCTTGTCAGGGTTTGAGAGGAAAACATCCTGCCCCAATTCTCAGAAAAAAAATATAAAATAGCCCTCCGCAGCTGAGTCCTGTGAGCCTACAAGCCTATAGCCAGAGGAGAGAAGCGAGTCGATGTGTGATGTCTCCCCACCGCTGCAGATTAAAAGGCCTTTCCACGTATTGCTCCGAGCACAGGAGCATGGCAGGGCCCGGATGAAAAGACGGCTGCGAGAACCGACAGGCTCCGCTCGCCTGCAGCCCCATGCTCAAACATATGCGTTTGCATTCACCCGTGGGGCTGAAAGCATATCGGGGAGGATACGGCGGGTCCTTTACACTCGTCTACTGCCAGAGGGACCACGTCAGTTTGCGTGGGAAGCGCGCGCCGCATTAGCGCTCATTTGAATTCTGGGTATGGATGCGCGCATGCATATGGAAGCGCGCAGGGGAGGAAAGGTCACGCTCGCAGAGGCCTGATCCTTCCGTCTGTTGTTCAAAATGCATTCAGAATGAGAGCGGCCCAGGCTCTGCCGCCTACGCTGACATTAGGAAATCAAGGAAAAGCTTAGAGAAAAAACAAGCAAAACGGGGTTAGAACGGTGGAAAAAACAAACAAAACCACAAAAAAAAAATCCTATAATCAAACAGGCATCTTGTTTTTAGATGCTACCTGCTAACTCTTCATAAGCCTTGTCTCCAGTGGGTGCATTTATGCCGTAGCTTTCCATAAACCAGTCCTTATATTCTGCTGCTGGATTGGTTTCGTTTACTGTGAATCCACTGACAATAAAGTGAAACGCATATTATGTCAGATACACAGCCTCTATTCCTCCTCGGCCTCCGAGGAGCCTTGTGATTCTTTATAGTGGTCTGGAGCAGGGGTTCTCCAGTTTCTGAAGGCCCTTGATACATTTTATGTGTACATAAAAAAAAACGCATTTCCCACTTCTTTTCAGTTCAGTCGCCTTATGGGACTATTTTCAGAGGGAGGCTGTCCTCTGTTGGTTGTGTCAGATAAATCTATAGTTCAATCTGTACATGCTTCCATTAGGCCAGCAAACACGCAGCTTTAATGAGTCCTACCACAACTATGCAGACGACACTCAGATCTGCGTGTTGCTGAGGGGCAGGAGGACATGGGCCTGTTTACTCATGTGTCACAAAGAGACACCACAAACAAAGAGAAAGTGTCATCAGTCACCTGGTGACTCTCTCTCTCTGGAGGCTAACAATCAACTTAGAATTCTAGAGGTAATACTGGACTCAGACCTGAACTTTAGCAGCCATGTCAAATCAATAACATCAGCAGCCTTTTACTTTTCTAAAAAACGTTGACAGACCCAGAGGAATAGCGTGTAAACCAGACCTAAAAGTCCAGTCCACGCGTTTGTGTAGAGCAGGTTAGCTGGACTCTCTAAACCAGCGGTGAGACAGCTGCAGGACATCCAGAAAGCTGCCGCTCCCGGTCTGACCAGAACCAGGAAACACGGCCGTATTTGTTCGGTGCTCAGGTCTCCGCACTGGACTTTAAAACAGCTCTGCTCTGTAAAAGTCTCGCACTCTGAGAACCTCGGGTAGTGGTCAGAAACAAACAAGGTGCTTTTTTATTTGCCTTTTGCGATTTTACGTAGCTGTAAGGCAAATAAACTTGCCTAATTCGATCATCTAATCGCATAAACAAGCCCCAAACCCCCCCCCCCGTATGGTGAACCTGTGTTCTGGCAGAGGCAGTTTTAAACACTGTCTTTGCAGCCTTCAAAGAAAACACACAATTTGATCTTTTTTTTTTCTTTTGTTGCAGATGTAAAAGTTACCAACCGTACCGAAGTTTGCAACAATCATTTCTCGGTTTAAAACTTGCCACTGGAGGACAGAAAGACTGGAGGAGCAGAAGGGAACAGCTCGCCCCAAAAGCAATCCACTTCAGATCAACAGCAGGGAAATAAAAACCTACTAAAAACCTGATAGAGGACCTGAGAGAAGCATGTGAACTTCCAGAGGTCCCATCCACCGTTCGCTTAAACCTCATCAGAGAGGAAGGGCGGCTCTCTGGATGTCATTATCATAGAGGGAAAATGATGAACAAAGGCTGAGGCACGCCAATGACACAAGAAGAGGACTGAAAATGGGTGGCAACAGGAGGAATGAACCTTCCTCAGAGCTCGGACCTCAAAATTTGTTGGACAGTATGGGGTCATCTTGACAGAGAATGGAATAAAAGGCAGAAAAAGCATAAAGCCAATAAATGAGGGTAAAGTGTGTCTGAGATGGTTCAAACTGTGTTGAAAAATAAAACTGTCCATACCATTTATTCCATGATGTGCTAGATTTACCATTGAATTTTACAAGTTTAAAATGAATTGCTGCACCTATTCCATGTTTTTCTCTGGCAATGCATAAAGAAATTAAACCTTCTAAGGATGAATCCTTCCAAGGATTATTTGATTATTTCTAGCTATAGAGCAACATGGATGAATTATACACTGTAACAGTTTATGGAATTTTTACTGCTGGAATTGGTAAGAAAAATGTCACAAAGATAAAGGAATAGTCTAATTATGAGGTATGAGTAAATGTACAGGAATGAGTTGACACTTTGATACCTCAACCTGCTCTTTTTGACTTGGCAAACCAATTTGAAAGTGGCTGCAAAACAAGCCTTTTAACTAGTGACAATGCAAAAAAAATACCACAAATTAAATTAGCTTCTGAATAAGGAAGCGACCAAATGCAAAAAACAAACAAAAAAAGAGTCCTGCTCACAGTGCGGAGGGGCTGTAGTTTACCAGGCAGTGCAGCACACCCAGCAAGTCCTCTTCCCAGTACAGGTCGCTGAATTTCTCCCTCACGATGCTGGCAAAGGCCTGGTACTGGAGGTGCTTCAAAGAGAAGATGTACTCCCCTCGGGGAAAAAGACATGAACAGAAAGGAACTTTCACATTAGAGCATCTAAAGTCAAATTAATTTTCTACTCAATGGTGAATGGTAAGTGGCCCTATATAAAAATATTTGAAATATCGACTAGGCTACTTTTAATTAACTTTAATGAATCCTCCAATAAATCATCCTACATGATTTACATTTGATTGAAAGCATAATACAAAATAGATACAAAAGAAAAAGAAAAAAATGTTGAACAAATAAGAACGGACATAAAAACCATGATCATTTCAAGGAAAATACAGGATCCACCTTCGGTCAACCAGTTTTTACCGGTTTTTCAGTAATAACTGTACCAATTCAAACGGTGAACTATATATAGATACATACCCATGGCAATGTCCCCGTGCCTATTGTCTAAATGTCCACTGACTGGAAACTCTCCTTTGAGCAGGTCAATCACCTCCTGTAGGGCAGGGTGGACTTTGGGAGGGGTGGACTTGCTCCCGCCTCGTGTTTGTGGATTTGTTTGTGCGCTGGGCTCTCTGTGCTCCGGGGAGCTGTCAAAAAGGATCGAGCTTCCGCCGAAATTATCCGACGGCGCGTCGCATTTCTGGACTCCGGCCGTCGGGGGCGCGTCCAGACAGTGGACGAGCAGGCCGCACTTTCCCTCCGGGAGCGTCACCAGCTCCCGCAAAGGCCGCGGGGCCAAAGAGAGATCGATGTCCAGCCCGAGCAGAGACTCGGGGGCCCTGACCTGCACGGGCACCAAGGAGAGGTGTCCCGTAGCGGGATCCTGCCGAAACAGGTAGTTGTTGAAAATCCCGCAACCGCCGAGGTCAGCGGGTGGTGGCAGAGGAAGAGAGACCTCTGAGCATTCCGAGGGAGAGGCCACGAGTCCGCAGGGGCTTACGAGCGCCCGACAGCGGGATGGATCTTGCGTTTGTAGGCCATGCTGAGCCGGACTTGGGCTCTTGGAAGGCGCGGGGAAATCAAGGTGGTTTTCCACGACGTCCTCACTGCTTTTTGTGAATCCATCCGCAGTCCTGTAAAAGGAAACAATCCCTTACTTTTCTACCTTGTTTTTAAAAAATAAATATGTTGGAATGTATTTTTAGTTTAGCTGATATTTCATACACACGTTTAGCATAAGATTGTCTCATCTGCATTCATGGAAATGTAACTTTACAACACAGCAGTTTGAAGTTTAACATGTTATGATAAAACTTAACATTGTTTCGGGGGAAAAAGAATGGGAAAAAGCTGCACAAAAGTTCATTTGAAAATGGTAAAAGTCTGATTTCCATCTGTGCCTGTGCTCCCAACCTAACGTCATACCATCTTGATTTAATCCTAACAATATCTGAGGGGTTAAAACAACAGCAATTTGTTTCAGTGTCAGCAAAGATAACTCTTCTTGATAAAACAGACATGAAACTGGCAGAGACTTCAGTAAATCAGCCACCCCGGAGCAGATCTGCCAGCTGAGCACCAGTATTTGTGGTATTTTAAGACCACACATTGCCTATTTGACCAAAAGCACTTAAGGTGACTATACAATCCATCTATTTTACCCTCTAGAAGGAAACTTCTGTTTAATTTTGGGTATAAATCAGAATTCTGGTTTGTATGCACTTTTGTTTCTATGTTCTGTCCTGTTTATATACTATTTGCATAAACAATTCAGGATTTCAGAAAAATAAATTGACTTCTTTTGAAAGCCTAATTAACCCTCAGACTGCCACACAATCTCTTTAGAGACTTAGATAGTTATTTCCACCTGTATCGCTTCCATTAAACCCAACGTGTGGTAATAATGCAGAGGTGTTTCCTTTCCGAAATCTTACCCTTCAGCGGCAGCCTCCAGATTCCGGCTCTCCTCCTCTACGTCCCCCTCAGTGGTCAGGATGATGGGGGTGAAGTGTGTGGCGCTGGAAGTGAAGGCCTCTGGGAGCCGGAGTTCCGTCCTGACTGGATAGCTGTGGGGGACAGGGCCAGGCACAGGAGCTAATCGGCTCTCAGTGGCCATGGCAACAAAGCCTACATATGGTTACAACAACGCCAGATACAATATCAGAGATATTGTCTCATGCCTGTTCAGTTACACAAAATGTGCGCAATACTTGGAAGGGATGATTCAAAGAATGTATGGCGGGAATATCTCAAAGCAGGAGTGATTTGATGGAGCTTTGTTCATTGAGAAGTGTAGATGCAAAATGATCTCTGGCAGGTTTTTAGAGTACATGCAAAGGGGGATAAAGAACACTGCATGAGGGTCATCTGTAGCCAAGTAAGCCTGGCCTACCACTGTTAACTGCAGGCTCTTCGGACGAGCACCGGCCAGTTTCGGCGGCGCTCGAGTCTTCTGCGTCGTCGGGTTTCGAGGCCGGCTGAAAGGAAACAAGAGAAAAAAATCATCAAGTCCAAAAACACTCGACAGAGAAATAACAGGAATGGAAGAACGCCGAGTGTACCGGGTGAACTCGGCTGATGAGGCTGCCCCAAACCGTCTCCGCATTCGTCCCCTGACGGGATAAGTTGTCACGGCAGCTCTGGAACAGACCCCCAGGGAAAAACAAGCGTCACAGGATACCGATTTGTTTCAGAAGCCCCAAATATTGGATAAAAGGGCAAGTTTCCTAGCACCAGGTCCAGCACGATGAACTGGTGAATGGCTGTGCGACAGGGCCACGTTCCCAGTTGTTGTTGCATTTTGCTATGCTGCTAACTGCTAAAAGATCTTGCAAATCTGATTGCTTCCATTGATTTCTGAGACCTTTCTGGTCTTGGAAATGCTACTCGACCCCCTTCCCATTGGAAAAACTTGCCCATGGAGGATTTCGATCGGCTGCCATGTCCCAGATATTGCCTTTAAAATAGGACCCCTCACCTACTATGTGCTCCTTAAAGGAGGATTCAAAATATCTACTGGAACCTCTTATTAAAAAGCATAGAAGCTTTCAGCGAGTAGTCGTGATAAAACTAAAAAATTATACTTTTCAAATATTGCTCAGAGCCCATAAAGAGTATGGCTTTTAATATGGGAATAAAGAAAAGTATTTCACATGGAATCTGAAGAGAAACTGTGTGATCGTGTCCTTTGAAATAATTAAATAGTCATGTGGGCCCTTTGCAAAACACCAGGTGCTGTGCTTGGAGGCAAATGTAAATGTGAGAGGTGGAAAATCTGACCTCCGCTACAATCTCTGTGCGTTCCTTTGTTAAATATTAGAAATTCCCGAGGAAGAATGCAAGCTAAAATCTCGAAGAATACTTTTTTAGCCATAACGATGGTAGGCCTCTCCATGGGTGTCCTCTTAGCCATCTCCAGGAGCAGCCTCTTTAGTTTGCGAGGCATGGCCAGCTTTTGGTGAGGCGCTAAGCTGAACTTGGCGGTGGCCCACAAAATGGCGGCGACCCCATAAACGCACACCTGAGCAGAGAAAGGAGAGTGAAAAAACAGACAAGCACGTGGTCATGGAAGGGTAATGAAAACGGCTCTGACAGACAGACCTTCTCGGTTACGATCCCATGCTCTTGATACTCCGGAGCAATGTAAAACTCATCCTGGGAACCTATGGAGAAGTCATTCAGCGTCAGTTATTTGGGTCAGAACACTCAGTGTGTTGTTTGTTTCATGCAAAATAAAAATGTTCAAAATTATTCTTCAGTTTTTGTGTAATAACCGTGATGCATAAATGGAAAACAAGGATAGAGAACTGGTTAAATTACACCCACCTATGTTTTTAGGTTTCAGAAAAAGCACATCTCCCTCACAGCTCATGTACATTGTGTCCAGGCATAAATAAGCTGGAAAAGAAAAGAAAAAAAAATGCCGCAATGTACGGTGATCTACTAAATTTGAGGCACAACATGGCGCTTGCATGTCTCGTTTTAGAGTGCAATCAACCTGGAAAGTCGATGTACGTTTGCAGAGATGACAGACAGGTGTGGCACAGGGCCCACAGCTCATTAACGGTCAGCCTCCGTCCACAGCGAGTCAGTAGCTCCCGTAGTGATATCCACTGGACAGAAAATAACAGGAGAGAGGTATTTTCCCAACTTACGTACCAAATGTGGCAAATTATTGGACTCCACAGGGCATTGCTGTACTTTTAGAGGCCCTGAAAGTCACATTTATGTAGGAAATTGACAAATTTAAAGAGTACAGCAGCAGGGGTTTTGAACTGGTACCCTTAAAGCTCCTGCTGCGACAAAGTCTAGGATCATTAAAGGTACAATTACGGTAGATTTTCTTTTCTAAGACCGTAGCATAATAGCATACCATTAGAATTAAATACAGCAATTACACAGAATTGTTTGAATCCAGTAAATCAAAGCTAAAGCCGGGAAGTGATTGTTCCTTTTTAAATGTAGACTTAAAAAGAGAAGTACAACTCAAAGATCCATGACTTTTTTTCTTTTTTTTTTTGTTACCTCATCTTGAGATTCTTCATTCAGGCACAGCATGCTTTTGGTCATGTAGTTATTGGGAACGTAGAGGCTGTGGTTCAGCGTGCTCCGGTCCTTCGGAGAGTCCCGCTCCATTTCCAGGTCCCGGATGCTCCCTTCACAGTACTCCCGGGCATCGGTTTCTCTGAGGCAAGCTCCCACGTCTTCGTCCCTTAAAGCCTCCTCCTTGCTGCCCTCGGCGCCGCAGCGTGGGTCACATGACTGGACCCGGTTCAGCGTCTGGAGCCGTTTGCTCCACACAGAGCTGCGGCCGGAGCGCTCGTCGGCCCCTATCTCGGTCAGGTCGGAGACGGGAACGCTGATGTCTCCGTGAGGCGGCGGGGTGGACGGATATGGGGGGTTGTTGGAGTCTGGGACCGAGCAGGAGCGGTTGAGAGCTCCTCTGGCTCGGATCAGCCTCTGCTGGGCCCTCCTCCTCACCGGGGAGCTGTTGTGAGACCGGCAGTCCATCTCGTCCATCAAAACCAGGCCGTCTCCTTCGCTGTCATCCATGTCCTCAGCCCAGAGAGAGGAATCCCATCCCCCACACACCTGCAAATGAGGGATATTACCATTTAAACCACATGTAGACTGAACTGAATTATATGTTAGTCGCATCTTTTATCTATAGAGGTTGGAATTTGGTATTTCCTCCCACTGCTTTTGTCCATCACGTTTAGAATAGGTTTTCAGATGCCCAGTTTTTGCCACATTTATGTATTTGTTTCTTAATATACCACATCTGGATTTTTAGGACTCCAGCTGGGTCTGTGTAATGCAGCCTGCAGAAATCGTGATTCTAAAATAAGACAGGATAGACATAGTGTTAGAAATAATGCACCCTCACACCATCGGGGATGCAGGTGTTAGGGCTCTGTTAAATAAATCTAAGCAGTGACATATACTGCGTGTTTACTGGGAAGGTTTCTTGAGCTATTTACGAAACATGAGTGGGATTAACACAGACACAAAATGATAGCGTGTGCATAATAAAATGTGACCTACAGGCTTCTATTACATTTTGGCTGTTAATGTGGCGTAGACCGAGCTAAGCAACAAAGGATTAAGGCAGGCACCTGGGCTTACTTCCAATTATGAGATTTGTGGACGGCGCTGAGTATGGTCACTGAGACACTCATGCTAAATAGATGTAGCCGTTTGATTATTTCTATTTGCTTGTTGATTCATTAAAAGGACAATAAAGGGATTCAGGCTCATCTGACTGCTTATTTGTAATAATAACACTGTTATAGAGCTAACTGAAGTTCTTTCCACAACCCCCAAATGTACATCAAGTCTTCAACTAAGCCTGAAAGTACATGAACTTTTTGGCAGACTTTCCTTCCTATGCTCTGTTCATCATAACATTTGTGGACAGCTAGTTGCTCAATCTGAGTGAAGGAGTACTTCTGTGTTCGGTGTATATAAACAGCAGAAATTGTACATGTGCCAATATCATTTGTCATGAAACGCACAGCGTGCTATGTAGTCTTTAACAACTCAAAAAAGGTACCTGGAAAAAGAATGTTTGGACAATTTGGGCTCATTCATGTGGCCTGTAGCGCTTGATTTATCATGTTGTGAAACTAACAGTGATGGTTCCACAGATGAAAACAAAGTGTGTTTACTGGTTTCATCTTAACAAATGTTAATGCCTAAAACATTTTTTTATATTACTATATCTTATCTTAACCCATTCAGTATCTCTGAGTTTGAAATTTTGATGAATTTATTAGTCCTTAATGTGACCATCTATAAAAGAAAATATACAAACTGTTTGCTCAAAGAAAACTGAGAGGAAATATTGAATTAATCCAAGGCACGTCGTCTTTGAAATGGTAATGACTAGACCCATCACAAAAGCCAATACCTGCAGTCTAGACAAACTGTTTGTCACAGAACTGTCAGATAAGTCTCTGGTCTTATCGTCTGAGCTCAGTCTTTTCAGAAGACATCTGGGTTTGGAATGCTGCCACCTTGCCTCCCATGAGCCTTCCGGTCCATCTGCGGACGGACAAAGACGGCAATTAAGGGTCAGAAAAAAATCGCCCAAAAGCAATGAGTCAGCTGCTTAACACGGACACGAGAAGCACCACAACCTTGAAAGTTTGAAACCGATTCAATGGAGAGCACGCGTCGGCCGATCGCGGACAGTTTTCGGCACACGGCTGCAGAGGAGGCGTGGGACAGCCGCTCCTCAGCCAGCGACAGGATGTCCTGCGGGCGCATCAGAACGAAACGTTTTTAACACTTTGGAAAAGGGTTTCAACAAGTTTGAAAAAGTCATTTAAAATATGTGAAAATGAAAGAACCAATGAATCCTGTGTGTCTCTATTTTTTTGTACCATTCCAATATACAACTGATCTCAATATCTCGAGAATTAATCCATGAAATGAATCTAAAAGATATACACTATATATAGTATTGATATATGTATACATATATTACTTTTAATAGAAAATTATGTATTTTTTGCTGCACATTTTTTCATTTCAAATAGAACATTTGTATTTCAAATTTTTAAATATTACACTAGACTCCTAATTTCAAATATTTGTCTAAGAAAACCAATCTTTATGACCCTGAAATGGCACTATTTTCAAAACCAAGGAGTGATCCACTTATTGCCATGACACAACATTTCCACTTGATGTTGCTGTTGAGCACCAACTAATGCAGAAATGTATGTCAGAAAACCCAACTTCTCCTTAACAAATAATGTGAATCTGCAATGTGACGTACAAATGACAATCTGTACTAACTACAGATGTCTGGATCACTTACAATTGTATTCTGTTTCACTGCCCCTGTTTAAATTTTCAACGCATCATCCGATACCCCTTTTAAAAACTGGCTGAAAACATGCTCCGCATTCGTATTATGATCATCCAAATATTACACCTCTAATTACCATTGTGTGCATTTCATATAATTTCATTTCAACACATTTACTAAAGTGAGAGCTGATTATTCAACGTGTGACTCATTAGGTTAGAGCTATAAATCACGCCGGCAGTAAAAATGAGTCAGCAGGTTTTTTTTTTTTTGTGTGGTTTTTTTGTACCTTCAGCAGCGGCCTGTCCTCAGGCTTTTCTTCCTGCATCTGCTCCAGCAGCTTCTGCACCTCTTCCCCCAGATCCGCCTGGAGCTCTGGCTCGATGACAAAGTTCAGTGCGGCAGAGAGAGTGGAGCCCAGAGAGTAAATATGGCCCTTCGGAGACAGAAAAACACTTATCATTATCATGAAACAGCTGAGAATGTGTGGCAAGTACACAGATCTGTGTCTGGGAGAGACCAGAAAGGCAACGTTCTCACACCATTTTGAGCTGTAATTGCAATGTATTGTGCATATTTATGATTTAATATTTAAAATTTTCTTCGCTAAACTGACAGCGAACATTGTTATATGACAGCATCGAATTTAGATTCTTTAGAGTTCACACCCCACATAAAAAAATGTTCTATCAACGGGAGCTAAATAGACTAATATTCATGCGGTGAACACATAAAAGCTGGACTATTCCACTTAACTGGAACACAAACAACCCGGTTTACTGTTTTTTCAAAAGGATGCCATAGGCAGAGAAATACCCTGCTCTGTTTATGTCTAGTAAACAGCACACATATGACAGTGTCTGTTCAACATTCTCTTGACAAAAAAAACAACAATAGTTGATGTCAAAAGTTGAAGCTAGTAGCCTCAAACAGAACCAAACAGAAAATGAAATGTATTTGATTTTTTTTTTTAATACTCCCTCAGGCAGTAATAACCACGGGCTTCTTTACGGGACCTCTCTTTGCAGACTGTGTTGCATCATTTTTTCAGCTTTAATTTGCACTACCCACTTTTTCTCAGCTCTTTCCAGTCAGGCGCCAAAGTTGATGTGCACTGACTGCGTGAATCACTGACAACTGAGTCAAACGCAACTTCTGAAATACATCAGCCGGCGCAACAAACATGAGGATGATCACCCGCACGAGGTTGTTGGGTTATCTCAAAGGCTTCCGAACTGAGTCATGCAAAGGACTTGTATTGACTCTGGCAGCTGGAAGGATAGCGGGAGGATGGCGGCTTTAATCCTCCGTGCCACGGTGAGTGTGTGCTCTCCTGCTCTGTCAAATCTTCTCCTACGAGAACATACTTGATAACATATTATATAAGTTCTAATATGCTGTAGACAGTTGAGCTGGTTTTGGCTTCTGATCTAGAGACGTTCTGACACGCGGGGCGGGTTCTTTGGCTGTTTTCTCGCCAGACTTGGGCCAGACCCAGGACATCCTTGAGGGACATCACTTGGCTGGCTCGAGATTCCCCCTGAGACCGTCTAAATGAGCTCTAGCGACCGGGGATTTCTGCTCTGTCCGAGGCAGCGGACAGAGCAATGGACGAACGGAGGGAAGTTTGATTGGAAATCGTATTGATTTCCCTCTGGGATTATTAAAGTATTTCTGATTCTGATTCTGATTCTAATTCATTTTTTTTCCTACTGACGGCCCTCTGCCCACACTGACAGACGAATCAGCACGTCGGGGTGGTGTTTTGAATTAAACCAACCAAAAAAAGTGGTGCGAGGTATGACAACAAAATCTAAAGGCTTGAGGCTGAATCCCTGCTGGTTCGAGGAATTGTAGACAAGGAGCAACACTCCCTTCCCCGCCCAAGTAAACATCACCAAGGTGCCCCTGACTGAGTGGTGTGTTGACACCCTCCTAAGGGGGGTGAATGAAAACAAACGTGCAGCTGAGCCCAGATTGTGTGACAAGATCCCCCATCTCTCACCTCAAACGTGCTGCCCGTGTTGTCAAACTCAGGAGGCACGAAGGAGCCCTCCGGATCATCTGCGGGTCAAAAAAAACATCAATCAGCTTCAGTGTGGAGCATCTCTAAAAGCACAGCACGCGTCAGGAGGTGTCAGCAGGCTGAACGGCGCCAACGCTCTGACGTGGCGACGTGTCGGATCCGTACGGTATCCTACTTGCCGAGTCATGAGACGTAAATAAGAGGATTAGGTTTCAGAGTACTAGACCAAAACAAGCCAGTGCCACTGCTGTACCGATCCTCCACGAAAGAGATGGGAGCAAACTGCAAATCAGGAAGTGATGCGGCCAAAGAGAAGCGCCGCCACATTCTCCTCTTCCTCCTCTTCCTCCCCCCCCAAAGTAGGTCAGAACTCAGAGAGGACACGGGGAAGACATGGCCACAAACGGATCTCACTTCCACTTTCTGGGAGTGGAACAAGGCGCAGGTGGAAGGAAACAGGGGGGAAATAAGGAAGGAGGAGAACAAAGTGGGTCGGGGGGCACTTCTTGGGTCCGTCTACTGGGGTTCCGCTGCCCCTCCCCTGTCATTTCAGTACACACTGCACCTCTTTAATTTTTCTGAACTCATTTTCCATTCCGACTCAGCCTTTTTCACCATGACTTTACTAGTTTTTCTTTCTTCTTTTTTTCTCCATCTTCTATCTGTTTCCATGTCGCTCCTCTTCTTATCTCCTATCTATTGCTCCCTTGTTGCCCAATTTATTTCTTCCTTTTTAATATCATCCCCTTGGCCTACCCTTTTTCTCTTCCTTACCCTCAACTAGTCTTCAAGTTTTCATCACAGCTTCCCTCTCTTTTTCTCTCCATTGGTCTTCTGTCCTTATCTCCTAACTGTTATTTCCACTCCATTTTCACACAATCCTTGTTTTTCCATTTTCTACCTTTTGGCTGCTTTATTTTCTTCCTGTCCTCATCTGTACTTTCTTTCCCTTTTGTGTCCCGCCTGTTCTGTGCCCTCACAATTGTGTCCCTTTAATTAACCTCCCCTCCTTTTTATTTGCTCTCATCTTATCTTCTCGAGCTTTCATTCCTTCGCCATCCCCTTCCCACCGTTTTCGTTCCTTTCTTCCTCCCCTCTCAGCTCTTTTCAGCCCTTCATCATCTCTCCCCTCAAGGACAGCCCAAACAAAACGAGCCAGGGGGAACAGTTGGGAGGAGGTAAAAAGCCAAAGCGGATGAGACACATAAACTCTTTGTCGTGGGAAGAAAAAAAAAAAAGTGAGATTGTGAAATGGCCAGTGAACGAGAACAAAAACAACCGAAAAAAAAAGAAAGAAAAGAAAAGAAATAAACCAAATAGGCTCGGTGAGTCACGCGTGCCCACGGCATTTTCAGCACAACAGGTAGCACCAGATGAGCGATATCACACGTATCCCGGGCTGCTGCTGTTCCCAGCGGAGCACAGTCACTACCCCCTCATCTGGGATGCCGAACCTTCAGCACTGCCGTGTGAAAACCACAGAGGAGGGGGGGGGGGGGGGGGGTTTTTTTTTCCCCAGGCCCTAGTTGGCCAGGCCAGTTCTCCCTGGAGTCCAGGGCACACTGGTTGGGTCTCCTCTGTGGGCCACTGTTCAGCTGACGTGAGCGGTATCGACGTGCCATCGTGGCGCGCCGCCGTTGTCATAAAAAAAATTAATTAATTAAACATCCACCGCCTCGTTTGTGCTCCGCCGCTTGTTTAGCAGCGCCTCGGTTCTAAAGGTCATGGCTTAGGGGCATCCGGTTCAATCACAAGAAAATCGATGAAGGAAAGCAAGGGGAGAATACTGTTTCATGATTAGTCAACGCATGGCACAGACACTTCCTCCTCTGCCATAGTCAACGGATGTCACAAAAATAACAACCAAAAAAATGACTTTTTACATAGATCTATGTACAAATTCATCCAAAAACCAAAAACCGATTCCAAATGTCTTATTGTTGCAGTCTGTGTGGCTCTGTGAGGAGATCAAAAAGGAAAAAATAAAAAAATAAAATGAAGGGAGGGATGAAACACTAACGGATTTCATACCACTCCATGTGGAGCGGCGCGGCAGGTTGACTGCTGATAGGCCGGCCGAGCTGTTGCCACAACAACGATCCCCCCGGCAACTCTGCTCATCAAATCAATGCTTATCAATTTTAGGGGGGGGGGCCTTGGCAAGAGAGCACAGGACCGGTTCATCCCACAGCGCGAGCGACGCCAGGGGGGGGAAACGGCGACGAGGAGACAATGAAGGAGAGGGCCCCGGAATAAGAGAGGAGTAGACGCGTGATCGCCCCCCGACAGGAAGCGCTTCGCTTGACGTCACGGGGGAAAGAAAGAAAGATGATCGGACCTTGAGGAGGCCTGACAGATGCGCTAGCACACGGAGCCGTCTAAGACAGGAGTTTGAAAATGGAATGTGATACACATCAGAAAAAACAAAATCGCTATAGACAAGAAAAACCAAACAAAAAAAAGATGTCTACCCCTAAGATTGAATTCATTGTGTCGAAAAAGTAACTACTCTGGTATCGGCTTCAGCACTGCCGAGCACGTAGGATTCACCAACCCACGCATTGGCTGGCGAATGTGCAAGTTAAATCTAGTAACATAATACGCCGCGTTTGGAAACAGTAATTAAACCCACTGAAAGCCGGCGCTTTGTCGAGGACAAATTAAAGGGGTATAACTGTACAAAAAGGAAGACAATTATCGAACGGGATCGTTTCCCCGAGCTGCCGACTCACCGCTCAGCTGCTCCATGAAGCACACGTTCCCGTGAGCGTTGAAGGCCAGAGTGTCCGGCGTGATGCACAGGGTGTGGAAGAGGTGGGACGGCCGGATGCTCTGGAGGGCCACGGCGCACTGGGCGCACACCGCCCACACCTCCTCCTCACACAGGCAGCTGTCCCGCAAAGACAGGATGTCGGCCAGGGACACGTTCTCCTGAAGAGGCAAACAGACTCGCAAATGTTCGTGTCATTAAATAGGCAACAGAGCTGGGCAGGCCTCAGGTTTAGGTCTGTTCCGGGTCTGGTTTTTCCTTGTGAGCACCTGAATGTATCAACAAACAGTTCCTGGTCTAAAATATGTTTTTGAAATGCGTTTCGGTGGGCGGACTCATGCATGGGGAGCTGAGCTGAACTCCAACCCAAATTCTGTAGAAACCAGATTCGAAAGCGGGTTTTTACTGGATGGAGCCGACTGAAAAACGCCACAGCACAGAAATTATGCAGAAAACTGCTGAATCCAATAAAGACACGTGATACGCATCAGCTCCTCGTTGGATTGGTTGGCAAACTGTCTGGAGAGTTAGTTTTCGACCTGATTCGTCTGGAAACGGATCAGAAAACAGAAACATGAACTTCTAATTGTCACGTGCATTCCATAGTTAAAGCAGTTATCTCTATAATCACATACTTTAGAGGGGGAAAAAATCAGTAATGTATTTCTATGCAGTAAAACTTTAAAGCACAAGTGAGTGTGTCAGGAACCGCATGAGACATTTTGGGAAACGACTGGATAACGATCACTAATATAGCCCAACTCTGCCCCCGGGTGTCAAAATTCAGTTAAAAGTAAATAAGAAAATCAACAGATCTTCTTTGCCTGAGATATCTCGCGGGCATCACTTCAATATCACGCCTTTCGACTTTTTGTCAGACTTTGACTATGATGCACACTGACATTTGGACACTTGTGATTAATCACCTAAACCCGGCCCTGATTCTCCTCAAAGACTTCTCGCTCGGGGGGGTTTCAAAGTCACCGGACTGAGCTGTGAGCTGGAATCTTTTGCAGTGGCTGTCGAAAACCGAAGTCGTTTCTAACATCAGAGGTGATCAGAGCCGGTCCATAGCGATTCTGGCCTGCCGTCGTGTGAACTTTCCCACCCACGCTGAACGCTGCATCGTCTAGTCGTCCACTATCGTTCGGTCGGCCCCGTTTCCTGCCAGAGTCCGTGATCTCAGAGGTTCCAGGCAGCATTCAGCATATTGCAGTGGCACGATTATTTATGGGATCTTTCGTCTACTAGGAAAGTGAACACAAAAGCTGGCTTTAATTCGGATGTGGGGGGCGCCGGGGGGAGATGGGGATAGCTGGCATATATCACAAAGCAGGGATTGTCAAACACCATGCAACACTCGTACAACTAGTATGAGTTTGACAGTACTTTTCTTATAGCAAAGCAGAACAGGAACAAGGGGACTTTGTATCTAATTTCAGATCTACGCCCTCTAATATCTAATGGCACCACTTTCCTTCCACAACCATCGGGGTTGACCTTATGGACAAGCACAAATATCTATCAGAACAGACTAAATGCCGTCCTACAGGTGCAGGAAGAGTGGCGGCAGACTGCGAACAAAGCCTCCAGATGTGATCAAGAGGCATAGAGCACAATTACAGGCCAGAGCAGAACCACCGAAAGCTGCTGCGGCAGCCCCAGAAATAGAAAGCGTCCCCTGAGAACGGTATAGGGGAACACTAGCCTGCTCTCAGCCTGCCGAAGTTAGATCTGCTGCCCTACATAAGCCAAGACTTGTGGCGTGTGCCGCATTCCTTTGAACTCGGGGACCGAGAATAAAAAAAAAAGGCCGGGCCGGTACTCCTGGGTTAGCTGTCGGCCAGACAACCAGGCTGGAGGAAGTCATCAAAAAAGATCGTGAAGTGCACATCCACACAGAGGAAATGTCCCTAATGCTGTCTGGGAACCTGACCTTCAAACTTTGATAACCAATCACCAAACAAACAAAGAAAAAACAGATCAAATGTATCACTTTGATGAAATAAACTATAAAACAGTGTTGTTTCAGCCAACCCTTCCCCATCATCAATAAAGTTAAAAGAAACCGATTAATAAAGTATTTCTGACTAAAAATTATTTATAGTTGATCTACTTTAGAGACCACTTCTAATGTGCCACATATTCATTTCTATACATTCAAGTCTTCTTAAGGAAATTGATGCTAATTTCCTAAAGACTGTAGTTCTAGTTTTTATCCATTTAAAGCCTCAATATACCATAGGGGCCACTGAGCTGGGCCAAGTTTGCACTGTCCAAAAACACAGAGAAAGGGCCACGAAACCAATTCACCTCCTAGAAATGTTGAAAAGAAACTATATGCTGTTATGTTTAGAACGGACTCATTCCAAAGCCACTACCACAGCTTCAGCTGGGACCAGGAGGCGTTATGTTTTCAGGTTGCTCTGTTTTTTCCGCCTTTATCCTTGTCCCATTTCACACAAACGCATGTCTAAAAGTGTTTCTTCATGTCTGTAACAAAAGGTCTTAATGAAAACCTGAACGAATTAGTCATTTTAGCCCAAATGTCACAATAAAAAAGAAAACCTAATCGATAAGAGAAATAAGACTAAATGATCCTGTTATAAGATGATGTGGTGTGGACATGGAACACCGTCAAATATGGGCACAAAGTAGTGTATTTAAAGGGACAAAAACAGTTGTGCAACAACACTGCATGCAGTTTCAACAACTTTATGGCGTTTCATGGAACCGGGCAGCCTTTTGGCCTGAAGACCTGGACGCAAACAGTTTGACATGAAGTCAAAGCAAGCACAGTTCTATCCTAATTCCCCCCCCCCCTCACCTCATCCTCCAGCAGCGGCGGGAGATGTTCCGGCTCGTAGTACCCGTCTCTGTCCTCCGCTCTCCCCGCGTCTGTGACCGCAGCATCACTCCCGGAAGTCTCCATCACGCACACTGCGATTCCCTCAAACAGTTCCAGTTACATTTTGGCCCGGAGAGACCGTCGGGACTGCATGCCTGAGCTTGCAAGGAGACACCCGGGCATTGGTGGGGGCTGTTAAGGGGTGGGAAAAGTCGCTGCAGTCCAGCAGCCAGTCGGTTTTCGACGGGGACTGCGGGACGCAGAAAAAAAAACGCCAGGAAGCGCGGAGGACGCAGCGCTGGGTCCGCCTGCAGAGAGCTGCAGGAGGCTGTCGGAGGCTGTTTTGGCTGCTTCTCCACCTCCGCGGAGGCAGGCGGTTTTTGTGAGCCCCCGGCTGAGTCTCTCCCCCCCCGGCAGCCTGTGCGGGAGCCAGGGCTGGGGGGAGCCAGGGCTGGCGGAGCGCTTTGCGCGCCACAGTTGGCTCCACGCCTCCGCTAGCGGTGGGCCTACAGCTTGCAGTGACTCATATTCGTCACTTAGTCACTTCTCCTCGCCTCTTATTCCTGCGATCTGGCGTTGCTTCAGCCGGGCATGCCGTTAATACGCGCGCGGAGCGTAATCTCTCCACAACGTATAGCCCGTATAGGGTGTGTGTGTGTGTGTGTGTGTGTATAATTTACTACCAGGTCTTAAACAAGCCTAGATCAGCACTTCTGCAACCACCAGCAACATTGTGATGACGATAACCTTTAAACTGCAGTCACATTATTAGACGTGATACCGTGTGTGTGGAGAACAGAATAATGTGAAGGACCTCTTTCCAGAGTAATCTAGAATATATAGATGGTTTTAGTTTGGGAGGATACTCAGATAGGGGATCTGTATCAGATGATCAGTGGCCCGACTTCAAAATAATCATAAAACCACGAATGAAATGAGCTGGCCAGTGAATGTTTTGCAGAAAATCGAGGAAGCTATATATTTAAAGAGAAATGTGAAGCTTAAAGTTGTTGAAATAGATCAAATGGAGAAATAGCACTATCTGAAAAAAAGATTTTAAACCTGCGCAAATTCTAGAAAAAAGATCAAACAGACATGTTAAAGGTACGAGAACAACCCAGCTGCTAGAATATATATATATATATATATATATATATGCTATACATGCTGATATAGGCTGAGGACATCCTGACTGGGATGTCCTCAGAAGCAGAAAGAACCTGTGGTTAGGGGTTTCCTTGTCTTCTATGTTTTTCAACAGGAAAAAACGGTCCCAACTGCTCCATGTCATGTAATTCTGTCTGAGGATCCACAGGACGTACAGAAACCTGGGATTGCTGGTTTCCCTGCAGGTTCTTTTCAGAGCTCGGTGTTCTTGCTTCTAACCTGTTGGCGGGTTCCTCTTAGTGGTCGGCTGTCGCATCTTAAAAAGCGTACAGGCAGAAACCATCAACCTCCTCCAACTCTTCATCTGCCATGTTGCTCCAGAGGAGTTTTGTGGATGGAACCTTGATTTGACTCATTTTGAAACTGGTCTAGATGACTTAGTTATAAGTGTGGTGGTGGGAAAAGTCTCCAAATGCTCTAAAGGCTCTGCGATGATTCGGTGTGATTCTTAAGGAAATTCCTACGATATGAGTAAGAATCAACTTAAATAAAAATAAAAAAGGTACATCAAAGCCCCAAAGAGAAAACCGCTATTAAAAGTGTTGATCGCTCAGTTCTCTGGCCCGTTGAGATAACCGAAGAATAGTTTAATTTAAGAAGCCGAGCAATTCCTGGGAATACGTGTTGTCTGGAAAATCCCCTCGATGACTTGTATCTTGAGAACAAAGAATTGCGTTTGATCCTTGTCTGTGCTGTAGCCGAGAGATGTTCAGAGTGTCTTGAACCGGGATTAGCTCTTCATCTAGAAATGGAGCTCTTTGCTGGGATGAATGGTTGAATTATCAGATGGCAGAGTTTCTTAGGTTCATGTCATCTATCTGAATAAGAGAGATTCCTTTACGAAAAGTTTCTGCGAGAATTACTTGCTATGAATCCCAAAGTCCTCTAGTCCATTCATGACTCGCATGAAAAACTAAAGATGAATCTTACCAAACATGGCCAAAATGATAAGACATCAAACCTATTCAAAACAGACTAACTCAGAGTATACAGTTTGGATTTGAACTGCCCATGTTTCATACAAGCAACAGACTCAAAGAGTACTGAGGACTACAGTACCGTATAGAGGGCTACAATAGATGTTTACATGTTAACATCCTGATGAATGCCTGTAAAACAGCACATTTTAAAGAAGACGAGCAACTTAAAAGGCTGAACACACATCCCCTGCATTCTCCATTGCTGCCTAAGAAATTAATTCCTTAACAGCAATACATAAATCACTTACACCTTAACAGCAATACATAAATCATCACTGCTTGGGCCTCAAGGCAGATTTAATAGGAATAAAAAACCTATATGCTTGGCAGAACTACGGCAGCCTGGACAGGACAAGGGGATTCAAAAAAGAAAAGAGTCCCACTAAAATCCCACTAACTAACAGAGCTATTGTGAAACCACAATATTCATGACAGGCTCCTGTGGAAAAAAAACAGAAGTCTTTCTCAAGTTTGAAGGACCTGCTGGAAAAATGTGTTCTTTAAGTTATCCACTCATCCGTTTGCTATTCTTGGCAGGGTCGCAGGTGGCTGGATTCTATCCCAACTGTCATTGGGCTATGGGCTGGGTTCACCTGGACAGGCTGCTGGTCTATTACAAGGCCCCATAGAAACGAGCAGCCTCACACCATCATGACATCATTCCTCGGGACGATTTAGAGTCTCCAACTTACCTAACATGCATGGTTTTGGACGGTGGGTACCCTGAGATAACTTATGCATACATGGGAGAAACATGCAAACTAAACACAAGAGCTATCATGATAGTATAGCTATATATGTTGCACATAAAAATGTTGATTGATTGTTGGGGTTCCCCCGGAATTTTTGTAGTCTGATTTATGGCTGCCGGCAATGTTTTTTTTTTACCCCAAATAAGTCAATTTAGTATCCAAATGAAGTGCTTAAATGTTTAAAAAAAAAAAAAGCTCATACTGACTCCATATGTAGGAAAATGTATTGATTGACTTTATGAGCCTCGGGGGCTCTCTCATGATGGCTGCTGATGCTGCCGATACGATGTGGCGCTGATTCAGAGGAAGGCCCTGAATCTGACGCGTCCACCAGTGAAGCTGGAAGCAGGCTGAACCATAGGGTGCCATGCTTTTTTGTAAACCCTTATCAGTTTCCTTTTCATTCTAGTCTTGTTGTAAATGTATGTGTGTAAAAAGATGTTTTAAAAATTCAAAAAAGGGAGAAGACTGCTATTCCTGAACTCTTCTATTACAGTCATAATTAGAGCTTTTTCATCATCAGGATGCCTTCTTATGTAATCACGACAAACGTCTCCAGAACACGCGATGAATGTCTAATGCCATGGGAAATGAACCTGTAGCATGATGGAACGCTGAATGTGTAACAAATGTGACTCCAAAAACCTGTCTGACTGAACAAAAAAACTGAAAAAACAAAACAGACCTTTTTAAAAAAAAATCAAATCTTCCAGACAAAACAGCGACCTTAATCAACTCTGCAGCTAGACTCGACGAGAACTTCACCCAAGGACTTGGCCCCCTGAAAATGTGTCACAGAAAGGGGGGAGAGGGGAAGGAGTTATTATCCCTGTGTACATTTGCATTTGGTTGGGGGCTGCCGGTGGATGTCGGGCAACCGTGTTTTTCCGACTCTGTCTCCACACTTAATTGCATGAGCTGCCTAATCTCTCACTTTATGAAAGTCTTTTTTTAATGAGTTCTCCGAGTGAGGGGTGGGGGAGATTTGGAGAGTCTGGAGCCATTCCACAGTGTTTCTGCTGCTTTTTCCACGAGATGTGTGTCAAGGACAGAATGCAATTACATCGCACGCACATCAAAGGGACTGAACAGACACGGTTCCTAACCGGAGCTTTACGTCCTGCCCCGGCGGTCGGTTCAGTGCAAATCTTTGTTTCGATCACTGCAAAAAGATCCCTCCTAAACCCAGTCCGGCCGACGACTTTAACCTTGGTTCTGATCTCCGTCTAATAGGATGCTGCTCACTGTGCTCCTCGACAAATCAGGTTAAGGACTGAACCACTAGATGGCATCGCTGGATAGCATCTGACACCCAAACCAGGACTGGTTTAGAATATCTAAACACATCCAGGCAGGGGCAAGAGGGGGGCCTGTGACCCCTCAGACTAAACCCCCCAAAATAGATTATTAAACGTACAAGGCCATGCCGTCTTCTCCTATTGGTCCTTGTACCTGACTCCATATTGACCCTAGGTCTTCAAATCCTCCACAAAAGGAACAGAAAGACATAAAACACTCCATTTATACCAGGGATCCACTGTTTAGCCAGCAGGGTGGGTCCAAGCTGGACAAGATGCAGCCCCTCCACCTTTTCTGTGGGTGGAAGAGATCTCGTCAATGGAGTTTAGAGACCAGCTGACCAAATCCGTCCATTTAGGTTATTAGGATTTAGAGGGGAAATGCTGAAGAGCTCTCTGAAGGTTCCCCCCGTTTCCGAGCCCGCAGATGCACATTTGGCCGTACGTTTGAAGTCAAGTGCGCCGCAACAGTGCGACACTTCCCGGGGCCCCTGCTGAGTAAAACAAATTAAAGTGGTGACAGATTGATTTTTTCTGGAGCACGCGACCGGAGCTGGGGACTTTTGCCGAGGGAACGTTGAGTTCCAAATGAGGCTTTTGTTCGTGGTTAGTCCAGATCTGACTGACGCAGACATTCCCCCGTCCCTCACCATGCCTCCACTTCTACTTACTGAAGAGATAATGAAACGGGCCTGAATAGTGAAAACCGTATCGGTGGGAGGGGGGGGGGGGGGGGGGCTTGTGTCAGACAGCTGAGGGGTATGAGCTCTAGCCGGGACTGAAAATTATTTATGTGATGTGGAAAAACGGCTAAAAGAAAATGTTAAATTAGCCCAAGAATGATGATACTCTTGAAAGGGAAGGATGAAATAATTAGAGAATAAAAAACAGAAGAGAATAACATGAATGGGATTTTCATTGTGGAGTACTTTTTACATATTTAGATTTAGATGGATGAATCCCAAACTTGTAGCAGTTTAGAGGAAGAACATTGCCAGTGACTGTTCTCTCACAACCCCCCCCCCCCCAATTTATAAAATCAATAACTTCATTAGAAACAAATGTGTTCACTTGCACAGGGCTTGTTTTGTCTAGTTTTGTCTAGACTGTTTGTATTATTCTTAAGGTGGTAGATTCTTAAGGTTGCACCAATTGCCTTTTAATTTGAGGTCTTTGTGAATCTTGATGACCTCAAAGGGACTTTTTTCAAAGGATACGGACAAAAAGAAAGAGACATAATGTTGAATCCATTAAATAAGTCTCCAACAGTCTGTTTGGGACGGGTCAGAGATTGTTGAATAATGCACGGAAGTAGAAAA